TGGTCTCTGTCTCCATAAGTGTTGATGCTCAGAGTCTTGCATATTAAGGGCTTAGAGGTAATTAACATATCAGTTGTACTGGCAACACCCATGAAGAACACAAACCAAGGGTATCTTACAGTTTGATTTACTTCTCAGACTGGAAGGGCATACATATTGGTTGCCACTATGTTGTTGTGATTTTGTTGCTTATTTTGTTTCTGAATTATTGTTATGCTTGGTTATGGTATACTGGTGTGATAATTTTATATTGTTAAGCATAGAAACATATAAGAACACATTGAGAGCTATGTTGGTTAAGACCTAACCTATTTAGTCAAGCATTTTGTTGTGTCAACAAGCAATCTAGATGCCCGTGGACCACTATGAGCAGGATATGGAAGCAATAGTACTTTTCTGCTTTCCTGTGTATGCATGTCTGTGTTTGATTATTCATTTATCAAGTTCTCACTCTCTGGTTGTATTGGCCAGTAAAACACATCAGAATAACTTCTTTTAGCTCATTTGAGGCATTTACTCCGAAGCAGTTTCCACTGTATTAAACAGGGCTTCTTTCTGCATAAATTGATTTGGGATTGCAGTTGCAGGACGTTTCCTTGCTTTCAATAACAACTACCATGTATATGCTTCAAGACAGTGGAATACACAATCAGAATGTGTTAAAACATATTAGTCATGACATTAAAAAGCTCATTTCAATGATGAATGAAATACATTTTAAAAAACCTATAGTTTTTAAAAAGCATATTCATTCAAAGAGTTATTTAACATCACATCTGACTTCATTCAAATAAAACTGTTTATTAGTCACCTATAGTAAGAAGGATGCTATAAAAGGCTGTTCATTGGATAAGTTACATATCTTTTAGAATGTTTCATATATGGATATGATCTGTTACAAACATTTACAGATAAATAGTATGTTGCTGAGCTAGTAATGGTAAGGTTGGAAACTTGTGTTTCTGCTCAGCTATGGATGACCTTGAGAAGTCACCAAGTCTCATTAACAAACCACTGTGGAGCTGCATTGTAGGTTTTTTAGGACTGAAAACAGAACAAATGTAATAGATGAATAATATTCTAGAGCTAAGCTCATTTAAATTAGTTCCACTAATGTATGCAGAATATGATGCTGTATTTGTATACAATGTTACTTGCTTGAGATAGTGTTGACATATTGACAACAATAAGATTACAATTCTACTCTTGGGCTTTCCAGTAATGCAATTTCATATTTATTATCACACAGCAATGTGCAAGCTTCAGAACATCACCTGAGGGTGAAGTTGTTTTCTTCCTCCTAGGAATATTATTTTAATGTGTAGTATCCTCTTTGGTTATGGTGTGATGATATATTGTCTTCATAACCTGTGATGTGGGTAAAGAGAAGGCGGAGAAGGGATGTAAACAAAAAGCCAGTGAGTCAAGAAGAAATAGTATTCTACATCTTAGAATTATCTTCTGACAAACTATACAAAGTCAAAGAGAGGAGGGAACAAGCTTGTTTTCTGCTGCCCTGGAGACTAGGATGCGGAACAATGGCTTCAAACTATTAAACAGAGGCTGGATGGCCATCTGTCGGGGGTGCTTGGAACGCAATTTTCCTGCTTCTTGGCAGGGGCTTGGACTGGATGGCCCATGAATTCTCTTCCAACTCTAGGATTCTATGATTCTGTACTGAATCCACATGGTTTTTCACATTGAGTACATAGATTTCCAGATAGAAGGTCTTCACAAGATTTTGTTTGACACACCGTCCTCTTGGCACATTGCTTCTTTTTGGCCTCAATTTGTGTCTCTTTAAAATCCACAGCACCATTGCTAACAGTTGACCTCCAGTTAGAGCTCTCGAGGGACAGGTCTTCCCAGTTCTTGATGTTTATACCACATTTTACACAAGTCTGTAAGCAACAACATACAATATTTGCAATGGACTCTGCAGAAAATGCACCGGCTGTATTTTATAAAAAGGGAAATCAGCCCACTTAGAAATCCTTGCAAGTTCTTTGAATCCCTCCAGGAGTGAGAAGTGGCATATAAAATAAATAAATAAATAAATAAATAAATAAATAAATAAAGTGCTGATTAGTGAATGCTTGATTTTATACCTATTTTATATATTGATATACCTGAGGTTGTATAAAAATTTCTTGGGTGGAAAGGGGTCTTGAGTGAAAAAAGTTTAAGGCCCCTTCCACACAGCCCTATATTCCAGAATATCAAGGCAGGAAATCCCACTATATTTGAGTGTGGACTCAGATAACCCAGTTCAAAGCAGATATTGTGGGATTTTCTGCCTTGATATTCTGAGATATAGGGCTGTGTGGGCCTTAAGAAGCCATGCTCTAGGGCATGGGGTCTAGTATAGAGAATAGACTTGACTGAAAATATCAGCATTCAGAGGACACTAAACTTTTATCTCAACATCAGCAGAGTGATGACCTCCCTTTCAGTGGCTGTTACATATATGTTTACTACTCTATTTAGAGAGCAGTGGGAATGTTTCATCTGTAGTAGTCTTTGGTTGTGTTCATCACTGAACTTTTCTTCTTACTGTTATCAGACCTTAATACCTTGACTCCACTTGCACGTGTGTGCTACAAGGCCCATGTCTGAATGGGATTTGCCAAAAATGTCATCACTATGCTATGGCTGAGTCTGCATTTCTTAAGCTTGGCAGAACCCAGCTGAGTCTTCAGGAGATTTTTAATGAGTTTCGTGTGAATTTAGTGTGTTGTGCCAGACTGTCAGATTGGCCAATGCTTACAGAGTATGAAATCATAGCATGCCGCTGTGCTAATTACGGTAGCCTCAGACTGTGCTCCCGATAGGTGACAGGATTGTGAAGACCAGATGAGAGGCATTGCTGTATTATTCCTTGTAATAAAAGAAACAGATGCTGGTTACAACGTGAAACAACACTTAGCGTCATTTATCATAATGCTATGGATGACAATTGGAACATTTGTTGTGCCACAGCATTTATTTATGTAAAACCGCATTGAGTCGCCTGTTAAGGGCTGAAAAATGCGGTATAGAAATAAAGCAAATAAATAAATAAATAAATAAAACCTGTTAATACAACAGGCCTTGGTTGCCACTGAGTTTTGATTTCTGATGGATACCAAAATCCATGGATGTTCAAGTCCCATTCTATACAAAGGTGGAGTAAAATGGTGCACCTTATAAAAAGGTAACGGTTTCTCTTTGACATTAAGTCTAGTCGAGTCTGACTCCGGAGGTTGATTCTCACCTCCATTTCTAAGCCAGCATTGTCCATAGACGCCTCCAAGGTCATGTGGCTGGCATGACTGCATAGTGCACCGTTACCTTCCCGCTGGAGCAGTACCTATTGATCTACTCACATTTGCATGTTTTCAAACTGCTAGATTGGCAGAAGCTGGGCCTAACAGTGGGAGCTCACCCTGCTCCCTGCATTCGAATCATCGACCTTTCAGTCAGAAAGTTCAGCAGCTCAGGAATTCAACCCACTGCACCACTGGGGGCTCCGCACCTTATAAATAATGGCAAAAATCAAAGTTTGCTTTTTTGTTTTTTTGGGAATATTTTCAAGCCACTGATACTGAATCTGTGGATACAGAGGGCCAGTGAATTATTAGCAGTGAATTTGGGATACCAGCCACAGATGTTCTGCTTTAAGATGCAACCCTTAAGTCTGTGTGTAGCTCTGTGAATCTTCCTTTAAGTGCTGCAACTAATGCTGCTTGCTTACACTGATTACACTGATTTGTTTACATTGAATCAGTGACTACCCCCATTTCAAATCCTTCTTAAGGCTTGGTCAATTAGCTCTGATTGTACATACATCCAGATAGGTTACTAGCAGAGGTGGCCCTAGGTAATATTCAACTGTAAGCAAACAGTATTTTAGCGCACCCCCCCCCCCCAACCAATCATTGATATATATTTTCTGTTTGTCGTGGGAGTTCTGTGTGCCATATTTGGTTCAATTCCATCATTGGTGGAGTTCAGAATGCTATTTGATTGTAGGTGAACTATACATCCCAGTAACTACACTTGCTGCACTTGCTCCCTTGCCTGGCCCGCTTTGGGTCGGAGGCGTGCCTGAAGACCCCGGCGTGTGCACCAAAAGTCACCTCTTCTCCTGACTTTCTCCTCAGCCATTGGGACAGAGAGAGAGAGAGAGAGAGAGGGGGAGATGCCCACCTTTCCTGAAGGTAGGCGCAAAAACAAAGGAGGGAGTGGAGGTGGGAGATACCTCCAGCCGGAGGGGCTCTCTCTCTCTCTCTCTCTCTTGGTCCCAATGGCTGAAGAGAAAGTCGGGAGAAGAGGCGACTTTTGGTGCGCACGCTGGGGTCTTCAGACACGCCTCCGGACCCGAAGCGGGCCAGGCTTGGCGGCTTCGCCCCTTGGCCCACCCGCGGATTGGGGAGAGGAGAGGAGGCGGGTAGGGAGCCGGGGGTCAGGAAAGGGAGCCGGTCATGGGGAAGGGATCGAACGCGGAGAACGATTGAGCGCCGGCTCTGCTCGCGCACCCGGTGGCCGGGTGGAGCAGGAACAAGAGGGGCTAGGTGAGGCTCAAGGGCCCGGCCCCTTTGGGAAGAGGATTGCCCAGCAGCGAGGCAAGAAAGCCGAGGCTCCCCCCGGACTGCTAGGGCTGTTGTGAGCTGAGGGGGCGCTCCTCAAGTGGCGGTCGAGGGGCATTTACAGAGGCGCCTCTGCGCCCCTGGCAAAAAAAGTGTTCTGCGACCGCTTACTTCGCGTAATGGACGAGCCGCCCCTGGTTATTAGGCAAGCAAGAGCTATGTGTCAGGTGTGCCACAAGGTTGCTGGTCCAGAGACATTGTGATTCCTGTCGGTGACTCTCTTTTTTCTACCTTTTGCAATCATAGTATAGTTAATTCTTAACACATTTTCCTTGTATAATGATTATGTTCACTGTTGCAACCTGTGTTTGCCATAAATAATATAAACATAATGCAAAAAACAAGTTAAAAATCTCTATTTCCTTTTTACAGAGCCTGTGTCATCTTGGGTGTGATATTTCTTCTGTCTGCTTTATGTATAGTGATCAAAGCTATCCATGACCTTGCAACTAAGTTGCTTCCAGAAGTGGTAAGCCCTTCTATTCTATCTGATTAAGGATCACATTTAGAGTTTTACTTTACAATAAAATAATCTATAGATAAAATGCTGCTTTCCCCACACCATTTTTAAATAGGTGGATCTCCCTGAAAATTTAAAGATTTTCATTATTTTATATTTAATTTATTAAATTTTGTGTCCAAAGCATTGCGTGAATAAGTATAAAATTGATAAAATGTAGCACAAGTGGCTAAATAATTTTAGTCCAAAAACGGGCAACAGCAACCACATTGTCTGTAGCTTTAAACAGTTCTTCCTCTGTGCATGGGGCAGGGCATTGTGGGCAAACATACAGATGCAGAGTTGTTTGTTCTACTCCACAGTCGCATAAGGTGGAGGATTCTTCTAGGTAGTACTTTTTGCCAGGTTGTCTTTTGATCTGCCAACTCCACTTCCGAGTCTGTTCAGGGACTTCCAAGTTGCCCATTCTTGGTTTGCCCCTGGAAGAAGGTCCTCGTGGGCAGCCATCCATTCGGGATTTCCTGGTTTAGCTGCCAAAAGCATTGCTTTACAACATTTATTTAATTTATGTCTGTTATAGTTAAATGATATTTATCCACTGGGATTCTTAGATAGAGTTCCTATCAATGGTAAGTGAAAACCCATTCACTTGCAGAATTTTAACATGTCTTCTTTAGTTGACTATTTAAACAATGGTATAGAAATGATTAAAACAAGGATATAATTGAAAAGAAACAAAATCTTAGGATGCAGATTTTCTCGGAAGATATCTTCTGCTTAGTAATGTATTCAGATAAGAAACCAACATTGTCAGCTAACCAATAAGTAACATTCATATGTGTGGAATGCCTGTATATGCATGGAATACATATAAAAGATTACTTACTTACTTAGGCGATCCCTCGTTGGACGAGTAAGATGGTCTTCCATTATGGATTTCCTTGTGGGTCCGTATGTGGCTGTGGAGCCCTATTCTTGCTCTAAAAGATTAATTTCCAGGAAATCAGCATAAGCAATCAGCACTCCGTATTTAGTATATATTCCATACAGTTCTGTAACTTTAAATGCACAGTAGATATGGGGTATTTGGTTTTCACTGGTAGAAGATTATTGGCCATTCATGTGCTTAATCCAACATTTGAGCAAGGATCAGATCTATTTTGACACCATTGCCTTCATCACTAGACAATATTGATTTCATTTACACTGAGATATTTCCTAATTCTTTACAACAAAATGAGAATTATAGGAATAAAAATTCCTCTTACTTTCACCAGGCTATGGTTATGATTCTAGATACTAATAGTTGCACCTGCAATCTTGAATTGGTTTCCCAGCTGTGATCTAGCATTTGCAAGGGCCATTTTAAACAGTTCTGGCCCAATTTACCTGTCCGAATGCATCTCCCCTTATGAACCACTGAGGACTTTAAGATCGTCCGGGGAGGCCCTGCTCTCAAATGCAGAGTAACTGACATAGGAAATGGAATCACTTGACAACGGAATTTGGACAAAGTTTTTAACTAGGAGGCACTGACGAGATAGTGATGTTTGGTTTTATTGTTTCTATTGTGGTTTTATATTGTTTTGATGCTTAATCTGTATTTTGTTATTATGTGCACTGACTTGTTGTAAACTGCCTTGAGTTGCTGATAGGCTGAGTAAGTCAGTATACAAGTATAGTAAATAAATAAATAATTTTAAGTGAAAACTGTAAATCTTAAAAGTTAGTATTATGTTTACATACATGTGCTATATTTACACAGCCTATCTGTGAATTAAATCCATATAGTGGACCTAATTCACTACATTCAGCCACTTTGAGTCTTGCTTCATTACATTAGAGAAAAAAATCCACTTTAAATCCGATTTCTGCCTCCTGCCGAATTCTGGGGTTTGTAGTTTAGTGAGGCTGTTAAAGGCTCCTCCCTAAACTACAAACCTCAGAATTCTGCAGGAGGCACAAACTGGATTTTAAGTGGATTTTTCTCTAGGCAAAAAAGCCATGCATACATGAATAAATTATTATTATTATTATTATTATTATTATTATTATTATTATTATTATTATTATTCTGACACAAAACACAGTATGTCACAGCAAACAAGATCTATATGCTGGATTTTGTATCACAAAATCACAAGTCAAACACTTCCCAAGCGTCTAGGACTGTGTGAGGTATTTTTGAATGATGTGCGCAGATCCAAGTAAGGTGGCATTTTGCAATTGACAGGTCATGATTTTGTCAATGTTTATTGTTTACAAATGCCGGCTGAAATCTTTTGGCACAGCACCCAGTGTGCCAATTACCACTTAGACTACCTGTGTTGGTTTATGCCAGAACCTTTACAGTTCGATTTTGAGGTCCTGATAATGACTGAGTTTTTCCTGATGTTTTTCCCCAATGCGGCTGTCACTTGGTATGGCGACATCAATAATCCAAATTGTTTTCTTTTCCACAATCGTGATGTCAGTTTGGATTCAAAAGTCCTACAGTATTTTTGTGTGTTCATTTTCCACTACCTTTGCAGGTTTATGACCCCACCAGTTCTTTACTACTGGCAGGTGGTACTTGTGGCATAAGTTCCTGTTGTTATTTCACAAATAGGCTGTTTAAATATTCTACCTGCATGTAAACATATCCAGATTGTGCAAGAGAGTGTATTTCTAAACATCCTTTAAATTGTAACTTCTTTTATATTCCAGCAATTATTATTTTTTCCTTTTTGAAAGGAATTTCAAAACATGGTATGAAATTTTAGCTGCCTGACTCTGATTTTCAATCATGTGATTGTGCCACATGCTACTTTTTTCCTGGGATTTTTTAATCATGTGGTTGTGACATGCTGCTTTCCATGCCTGGTCCAATCAAGAACATAAAATCAACTCTTTGTGTGTAGCGAAGTAATAAAGGCATATGCAAATTAAACTGCTTAATCGGTGCACTGCAAATTTAAGTAGCATGTTATGTTCCAACCACCTTTCAAGTCATGCTGCCCTCACAAGATGGATTGCAGGATTACAAAATGTGGCAAGATGATTGTAATATACAACATACATGCACAGAAAAGCTACCAGTAGAAATACATAGTTAAGGGCCAAATGAGAACGAAGACAAATGGGTCTTCTGGGGGCAACCAACCTTCAGGGCTACCTCACTGAGTCCTGCTTTCTTCATGGGAAAATCCCTTCAAAGTCAGAGGGGGAGACCTCTTCAGTGCGTGCTTCTTCTGTGTAAACTGAACGAGTTCATACGGGGGAATTTTCCCCATTGCTTCTTTTAATTCATTCTTCAGTTTGTGGAAAAGCTTTTCTATATATGTGGAAAAAAATGTGACCTACAGTGTGCATAAGATGCTCCTGTGCTACAGAGATAACATCAAAATCTTCCTGTATACAAAAATGAAATCAGCAATTAGGTCCAGCTCAGTCTTCCAGTTAGCTGTAAGTCTGTGCAAGCTCCTGGGCCTGCCAACCACTTCAGGATTTACTGCCATTGACTTAGGAGTATAGCATGACTTCTATATCCATGGGAATAGGAATCATAACACACTCTGTTGAAATGAATGACATCTGATGGGTGTAACCATAGAGTCATGTTGGTGGACCTAGAAAATTCCTAATGAGATATCCTCTCTAGCAATTTGCTAGGTCTTCCTGGGTGACTTTAAGGTAGCTTCTGGCATAAGTATGCTATATAATCACAATGTTCCTTTTGTGGTCTATGGCTCCTAAAGGGATTTAGGAGTCTTATTAGACCACAAGTGGAATATGAGTCAACAATATGACGAGGCAACTAAAAAGCCAACATGATTCTAGGGTGCATCAATAGAAGTGTAGCATCGAGATTGAGGGAAGTCATAGTCCCACTCTATTCTGCTTTGGTCATATGTCACCTGGAATACTGTCTCCATTTCTGGGCACCACAATTCAAGAAGGATATTGACAAGCTGGAATATGTCCACAGAAGGGCAATCAAAATGATCAAAGATTTGGAAATGAAGCCCTATGAGGAACAGGTGAGGAATCTAGGGATATTTAATGTAGAGAAAAGAAGACTGATGGTCATACTTCAATACCTTCCTTCTTGGGAAGCTTTTAAACAGAGGCTGGATGGCCATCTGTCAGGGGTGATTTGAATGCAATATTCCTGCTTCTTGGCAGGGGGTTGGACTGGATGGCTCATGAGGTCTCTTCCAACTCTTTGATTCTATGATTCTATGACCTGAAAGGATGTCGCATTAAGGAGGCAAGCTTGTTTTCTGCTGCTTTGGAGACTAGGACACAGGTCAGTGACAGTAAGAGCTGTTTGACAGTGGCATATGCTGCTTCAGAATGTGATGGAATCCTCTTCTTTAGAGGTTTTTAGCAGAGGCTGCCTGGCCATCTCTTGTGGGTGCCTTGATTGTGTGTTCCTGCATGGCAGAATGGGGTTGGGCTGGATGAGGACCGTTCATGCTCCGTGCTTTTATAGCAGTGGTTCCCAACATTGGTGTTTCAACTTCCAGAAATCCCAGCCAGCTTACCAGCTGTTAGGAACTGTGGGATCTGAAGTCCAAAAACACCTGGAGGCCCAAGGTTTGGAATCACTGTTCTATAGGAACGATAAACTTCATACAGAAGACATCATTTTGTTGAGTGTGGGAAGATAAAACTGTGAGTACTGGTCATACAAGTACTGGATAGGAAAACTATGGTGTTTTTATCTTCCACAATTTGACACGGCTTCCTTTGTCTTTGGCTCTCGTGTTTGTATGTCTTCTTGCCTTGAATGGATATTTTCATCCAATAGCCATTCATCTGGAGTGAGTGCCAACAGGAGGATTGACACTCACTCCAGATACCTCCGTCTGCCATTTTTTTCTGGCAAAAAGGGAAGGGGTGAATTACTTCTTTGAGAAGCCATCTTTCAGATAGATTACACGGACCTCTAATGCTGCTGAACATTTAACAAAACCTTATTTTTCAAAATTAGAAGTAGATTTCCAATCTGTTCTCATTTTGTGGCACTTTATGCTGCTCCTGGAGAATCCCAGAGACAGGAAATTGGGTCAGAGCAAGAGGCCTCAGGACTTGCTTATTAAATGATCATTGGATTCTATTAGGTTAGTAAACCTCAGGAAGCCAGTGTAAAATAAAATTGGCAGTCCTTTTATAATAACTTTGGCAGCCTTCTCTCTGCTTCCCAAATATAGGTACTGTGTCGGATTTTGAGTTTCCTTTCACTTAAGGTTGTTGTTTTTTTCAGGAAGATGAACTGTCTTCTGACTCTGTTCTTATATAATAACAATTAATAGAATTTATTTTACTTTTACAATTGAACAGTATAGAAATGCAGGCTGTCTCTTAGTGCAATTCACCACGGGGCTGCATACATTTTCTTGTCTGTAGTAGCAACTTAAAGGGCTGAAGAAAAATGCATGCCTCTGACTTTGCCTGGTGTTGCAAATCAATAGCTATTTGCAATTTAGGCAGATTGTGCATTTCCCCTCGACAACCCTATAATCCATATGGTGCCAGTGCCCTTGGGATTCTGCTTTCATTAGTATGGCCAGGGTGTGATTTTCTGAGAGGAAAGCAAATGTTCTGCCATATATTTCTCATTTGTCTCATAAATATACATTAATCCCAGTATAAAATGAATTTTAAGAAGTGGTTGTTTATTTCTGGCACTAGCTAGATATCTGGATATGCTTTTAAATAGTGGGGAAATTTCTGGAAAGTAGACTCATGTATTGGACAAAAAAATTGAATTTTTTAGAGATGGGAGCACAATATTTTCCCCACATAACAGCAGGTATTGATGGATGTAATATGAGATTTGATCAATGATACATCAAGGTCTACCTGAGAATTTTGGATTTTTGAAAATCCAAATGTAATAAAACAGTAATCAAACTGCTAGGTTAGCAGAAGCTGGGCTAACAGCAGAAGCTCACCCCGATCTGGGCTTGAACTGCTGACCTTCCGGTTGGCAGGATCTTCTATAGCAGGCGGTTCAATCTGCTATGTTAGCCTGACATTAGCACAAAGCCATTTAGAAAGTCCAGGATTCACTGTTACTTGCCTAGGTCTCCGTGTGCTAAATGGCACATACTATTTGTAAATTAATCTTTAAATAATAATAATAATAATAATAATAATAACAATAATAGTAATATGAATTTATTATTATCTCCCTGTGGTTCAAGGCGAGATACAACATAATTAAAACAAGAGCTAAAGCAGGGTGGGACACTTCACTCTTGACTAAAATATTCACACTTGCCTCCACCAGACAAGAGTTCTTTCTCCCACCTTGGACATTCCACAGATATATAAACCCCACTTGCCTAGTTTCCAACAGACCTCACAACCTCTGAAGATGCCTACCATAAATGTGGGTGAAACGGCAGGAGAGAATGCTTTTGGAACATGGCCATACAGCCCGGAAAACTCACAACAACCCAGTGATTCCGGTTATGAAAGCCTTCGACAAAACATGAATATTGACAGTGGCTGTTACCCATGTTGGCCATACAGTATCTTCTGTATCAGAAGTCTTATGCCAGTAAAATGCCAGTTGCTGAGAAACACATGGAAAAGGGAGCTATTGTGCTGCTCTTATGATTTTGGCTTTGTTGAAACATCTGGCTTTTGGTCTCCTATTGTTATCATGCTGTCTATTTCCTTTCCAGTCTGCTTGCTTTCTGTTTGGCAAAGCCCCATTCCCAGGAAAACAAACTAGAAAAAAATTAGAATAAAAAAGAAATAGTCATAACTAATAGATCAATATAATATCTAGTGGTTACTGGGCAGACTAAAACAGTTTACTTTCAAGAGCTGATGGTGAAATTCTTGCATTTAGGAAGAAATTACTCATATTTGAAAATGACATTTGTTCTTCATTCAGCTTTTTCTCCTCTGATTTGTTGTGACAGAAGGCCAACATATGTATGTGACCTGGGTGATATAAATACTTTAGTATTCTAATAAATATTCAGTCTTGATACTATATGCAATATACATTAGGTTATATAAGATTCATTGCATTGGTGCTTGTGTTTTAGGTGAAACTATTGAATAACAGTATACAATAGGATAATAACATCACAGTTTAAAATCGTTAAACTGATATTAATTTCATGCTTTATGGTAAAAAAAAGCAGATAGATGTACATGCAGATATTTATGGAAGTAGTTGTGACAGAGACAGTAGCGAGCAAAAAAGAAAAAAAAAAGGAAAGAAGGGAAGCCTATTTCAAACATAAAAAAACCCCTGCAGATTATGGAAGTGTGGTGCTTCAATACTAATTTTCTGTTTATCATTCAGTGCTGCTTCTCTAATTAAAATACAGCGAAGCAGTGAACAATGAAACTCAATGGACGGAGTCCCCAGTTTAATAATTTTCAGAAGCAATGACAAGTTAAAAATACGGGCATCAAAGAGGAAACATCCTGAGGGACATGGCAGCAGATGGCCGGGCTTATTTTATTAATTTAGGACTGTATTAAAATGTCTCTTCTGATCATTTTTCTGGAAGATGAATTAATTTCGAAAGGTAATACTTCACACCAGACGTGGGCTGTTAGGTCTGTCATGGTGTGGCCATGATGGCAGCCACCAGGTCGCTGTCCAACTCCTTGTAATTGGGTTTCCTTTTGTGCAACAAGCATCTCCACGCCACTCATACCATATCTCTTTCTTATCTCTCCCCTTGACAATACGTAAAATGCACCAGAGTCTCAAGAAATGTGTTCGCCTCTTGCCCAGCTACAGTTAATGCAGGCTAACCCAGCTGGTGCCTTTCTGTGTTTTTAAATCTATAATTCCCTTTGCTCCAAGTCAACATGATCAGCTCTGATGACCCTGAGAATTGATCAAAGGCTTCCGGATACAACCGTGTTGGGAAAGGTGGTACTAACACACTCTCCTTCCCAGCTGCAAGCTGGTCAAGACAGCAAAGTATTGTTTTTCTTTCTATTTAGGTGTGCACTTTGTAAGTGTGACGGAAAACAATGTAGTAATGTCTTGGTTCTCAGGTGACCGAAAAGGCATGCAGGTGTTGTGGTGTGTTGAGGCATTAGCAGTTCTGCGGAGATTCTTTGAATGGAACTCACTGCATGTATTTGAATAGACTCCACTGTAAGAATTTTAACTCCTTTCCCGCTCCTCTTTCCCTCCTAAGCCCCTTTGAGTTAACATGTGGAATGTATGCCAGGAAGTGGAGAACTGCAAAGATTCTCTATCCCTTACTTATGCCCAGGGAGAAATGATCTCTGTAGACTTTTTCTGGGCCCTCCAGGTGATTCTGTGGTATGCTCCTCCTAGAACATCTTTCCTGTAATATTTTCTGGCAATATGCATCAACAGCTGCTTTGAGTCCTCTTTGGATGAGAAAAAACAGAGTATAAATATTACTATTGCTACTGCTGCTAGTATTTGATTTTTTAAAAAGTCTCAATATAATATACTATATATAGGTTGTAAGTTTTCCAGAAGCATTCTCTCCTGACGTTTTGCCTGCATCTATGGCAGCCATCCTCAGAGATTATAAGGTCTGAGTATATACTCGAGTACAAGTCGACTTGAATATAAGCTGAGGCACTTAATTTTACCACAAAAATTTGGGAAAATGGATTGACTCAAGTATAAGCTGAGAGTGGAAAATGCAGAAGCTACTGGTAAATTTCAAAATAAAAACAGATACCAATACAATTACATTAATTGAGGCATCAGTAGGTGAAATGTTTTTGAATATTTATATAAAACTGCAATGTAAGATAAGACTATCCAACTCCGATTAAACCATTATTCTAACCTTCTTCAATGTAAATGTGCTTACATATCCTTCCAATAATAATAGAGTAAAATAATAAATGTAATAATAACAATAATAAAGTAAATAATAAATGTAATAATAATAGAATAAAATTATAAATGTAATAATAATAATAACAACAATAATACTAATAGAGTAAAATAATAAATGTAATAAAAAAGAAACAATAACAGAGTAAAATAATAAATAACCTTGACATAAGTGTAAGCCGAGGAGGGCTTCTTCAGCCTAAAAAAAGTGGGAAAAATAATCCCTCTAGGAATGTGCTGGGAAGTTACCTTAGAGTTGTGTTAGAAGATCCTAGCAAATTATTATGAACCTGTCCGGATTCTAATTTTTCATACCTTTCTTACCTCCTGTTGATGTGAAGTAGGTGAATATTTGAGACAGAGCTCTTTGGGAAGCAGCAGCCTGGATAGCGCTTGAAAATGAAATTGTTTCAATAAATTAACATTGCGTGGGACTGCTCTTTGTTCCAAATCAGTGGTTCTCAACCTGTGGGTTCCCAGATGTTTTGGTCTTCAACTCCTAGAAACCCTGACAGCTGGTAAGCTGACTGGGGTTTTTGGGAGTTGTAGGCCAAAACACCTGGGGACCCACAGGTTGAAAACACTGATCTAAATTCAGCAGAGTGTGCTAGAGGTGGGTGAATATAAAATAGGGTTTAATCCTGTTGCCCATTCTTCCCTGCTTCCAGCTATGGCCAAAAGCTTGCTTAAGCCCAGATCTGTGTGTCCTTTCAATTAGATCTGCAAGTAACAAATAATATCCCTTCTTATTTTCTTTTGCAGGATGACTTTCTTTATAGCGTTTCCATTTTAAGTGGAATCCTGTGCACTACTTTGGCAGTGATCAAATTCATGTTAGGAAATGTCCTTACAAGCAGAGCACTGTTAACGGACGGTAAGTAGAGAAAGAGACCGTGTTATTTATGTTTTGTTGTTTTTATATCAGATAAAAGGTTAAATAGAATGAACATAATTTACTTACAGTATTTCTATTCTGCCCTTCTTACCACGCAGGGGACTCAGGGTGGATCACAATACATGGCAAACATTCAATGCCATAGACACACAACATACATAGACAGAGACACAGAGGCTAATTAACTTTCCAGTTTCATGAGGGTATGCTTTTTGAATTCCAGCCACTGGGGGAGCTGTTGCTTCACCATCCACTTGTGATACCGATTGAGCACTTCCCCATTCTTTTGTACGCTGCTGGAGAGTTTTATGGTGTTGTAAATTAGTTAAATTAGCCTCCCCGCATAAGCGGTACGTAAATTTCCTACTTGACAGATGCAACTGTCTTTAGGGCTGCAAAGGTCAACAGCAAGCTAGACAAATTTCAAGAAGCTCACTCTGATCCGGGCTGGCTTTGAACTCATGGCCTCTCGGTCAGTAGCGGCAACTTGGGTAGGAAATTTTTGAACACTGCGACACTGGATTTACCTGGCTGGATCTTGGTTTTAGCGACACATTATTTTATCTTTAATGAATTTGTTAATGTATTGTATAATGTTTTAAATTGAGTTTTACAGTTTTAATTGAAATTTTTATTGTATATGTTGATAGCATCATTGATGGTTATGTGAGGCTGCCCTGAGTCCTCTTTGTGGGGAGAAGGGCAGGGTAGAAATGAAATAAATAAATAAAAATAAATAAGTAGTGGTCTTAATGCAGCTGACTCCTAACCAGCTGCGCTACAAGCCTTTCTAATGCACGAATGGTTGAATTTATGATATCATAAGACCGAAACTCTTATCCATGGTTTCATTTTTTTGAGAAATGGTCTCTATATGCATTTTCTAGGTCTTCTAGGCAATTCAATTCTTCCCCTAGAAGTCATCATAGAGTTGCTTAATTTCATTTGTATGATAGGAATGTATCCCCTGCAAATTAGTGGTCCCATTGTACAATATTCTTTATTTATTTAGGATATTTCTATCTTGCCTTTCTGCACCACGCGGACCCAAGATGGCTTACAGACAGAATACAAACATTAAAATCTTTCAGTCAGAAGAACAAAATAGATAAAACCATAATAAAACCACACTCAATAAAATCCCACCTTTCAGTTAAAGCCATAACCTCCTCTTCCATGTATCCCTCCTCCATCCCGGTCAGAAAATTCCCAAGTCCTTCCATTCCTCAGTTAAAGGCCTTGTTAAATAAGAAAGTCTTAACCCCATTTCTAAAGCCGAGCAGAGATGGAGCAGCCCTTAATTCTTCAGGGAGGGAGTTCCAGAGTGCTGGGGTTGCACCTGAGAAGGAGCCTTCTTTAGTTATGCGTAAATGCATACTAGTGTGGGCTTGCGTATTGAGAAGAGTTTTCCCGCTTGATCTAAGTTCGCATCATGGGATGCATTGGGAGTCGCAGTACTCCAGATCAGCTGGACCAAAGCCGAACAGGGCTTTATAGGTGCTGGTCAGCACCTTGAATTGAGCCCAGACCTGGACAGGCAACCAATGGAGCTGTTTCGGGATAGGGGTAGTATGCTCCTTGAAGTTAGCACCGTTGCTCTCTGGCTGTTGCTCTCTGAATGAATTGCAATTTCTGGATCCTCTTCAAGGTCCAATCTGGTTGTAGCCAACGCCTGTGCCACTGAGGCCAGGTCCAAGCTCTCCAGTAACGGGCACAGTTGGCGCACTTCAACATATGAGTACATCTAAAAAAATGACTTCAATTTTACCCAGAATTACTTGGATTAATTGATAATGTTGGTACACTTGAAACACATGTGCCTCTTTTACCCTAAAAGAACTACATTTTGGTTGGATAATTTTGCTGAGATTAACAAAACAATTACTCAAAATCTATGCTTTCATGGTGCTTTACTAATCTTATCAATAAACTTATGGTAAAATAAATTAGAAAGTCCCATGGAAAGCTCTTATATATAGCAAGAACATGGAAGAAATTACAAAGTTTATTCACTTAGAGTTTGGGCTCTTGCATTGTTAGGGGAATGGATTTTCATATTTCACATTGAAAGAAGTGAAGACACTTTTGAACCTACTTGGCATCATAACATATATAACCCCTAGATGTTGTCCATCACTGATCCATATGTTATTTTGGAAGCTGTCATGATTGTCACCTTTTTTGGATATTGACTATGGCCCGTTGCTGTAATTTGCCTTTGGTCATAATTGCCTGATTACACCTAGAATCATGGGGAAAAAAGAAACATGAAAAGAAAAGTATGAAAGAAACCCTTTCCCTTCCTTTCTTTTAATTACATCCTGAAGTTCATTTCATTGCTTCTGGTTTTTTTAATTAGCAAAACTGGAGACTGTAATTAGCTTGGTGTCTCTGTCTCTCTCATTCCTTCTCTCTCTCGGCATGTTCTAGCTATTTCAATAGCATAAAACCTTTTGGAATAACGAGAGTCTTACTTGTAAGCCCAGCCATATTGTAAGCGATGGAAGCAGCAGTTGGCCAAGATGAATTATTATGTCTGTTTCCTGTCAGAGTTGTGAGTAGGTTTGTGTTCGTTAGTCATCTGCTTCCTACTATGACAGTTTGTAGAACTGCAAGTTCTTTTAAATAGCTTGACGGAGAAGCTCTAGATTTTTGTTTCGGAATATTTTTTGACTTGGCAGTTTGGCAGGCTACTTAGTTTTTGATCTTACACAGTTCATTCTTTAAATTTAGTCTAAAAATATTCTTCATAAGAGTGAACATCAAGTATCCTTAACAGATACCATTCTAGCTCTTGGGAAGAACCAAGGTCAAGCCTGCCACGGACAGAATCAGGATTTCTCCTGAGACAAAATAAAGACACTATATATCCTTCCATTGAGTGGCTTTGAAGAAGTATGATTCCAAGTTGGGTCTTCATCATGCCAAGATGTTTCCATTTGTCCTATCACATTACATTTGACCTTTTTTTAAATTTTTTTTATTAATTTCTCCATACAGATTACAAAACAATACAATACGAAGCTTAGCCATCTAAAAAATAATATCAAAAACTGATTACAATTTTTATGGCTAGGATACAGGTTCCAATTGTGCTTCCCTTTACYGTATAACTTGATTAATTACCCCTTTAAACCCCCCATCCCACCCACCCACCCTTCCCACCCTCTTCCCACCCTCTTCCCACCTCCCTCCCACCCCCATCTGGGTTTACTTAAATCAGTTCATTGATTTAATTGTCTGGAAAGCCTGATTTAAAGTTCTGTACCTATCTTTTCCTTCCATTTTGTCGATTAAACAAGACCATTTTGTCGATTAAACAAGACCAATCTTGTCTYGACTGAATATTCAAATATTTATTTTTCTTTTCATAGATGAAATCAATAATTAAATATTCAGAGAGATAAGACCACCAGGTTTTCAGGTCCCACCTTGTTTTATCTTTCCACCCTCTGACGATTGTGGCATGTATAACGGCTATCATAATTTTCAATATATCTGACCATTCGTTGTTCCCCTCCTTTACCTCTATGTTGAGGGACAGAAATCGAGCTACATTTGACCTTATAGCAGTGGTTCTCAACCAGTGGGTCCCCAGGTGTTTTGGCCTACAATTCCCAGAAACCCCAGCYAGTTTACCAGCTGTTAGGATTTCTGGGAATTAAAGGCCAAAACATCTGGGGACCCACAGGTTGAGAACCACTGCCTTATAGCTTTAGTTGCTTTTGTATTTGAATTTAGGATTGCTGTTTAACAGGAAATKGAGATCTTAGCACATCTCTCCCCTCACCCATGCAGAGGAGAAATACAATATATTCATTTTGAAAGTAAAAGGGAGGCAAATATGTTTTTGGGATCAACTGAGCTCTTTTCTGGAAGACAGGGCAAAATGGTGGGAATCTATAAGAGAACATTTAGAGCACCCGGAGGTTGCGAGAAAAATGGATAAGATAGGATAGGTGTGTGTTTGTTCTTCATAGGAGATTTGCTGTGAGAATGATAACGGTTGTCACTGTTATCTAAAAGGACAATTAAGCATATTGTCACATATCCGGTGCAGCTTGGACTCAACTCCTACATGATTCATGAGAACAGCTTACATAGCAGCCTCAAGATAAACATTGATCTACTGGAGCATTGAGCTCAGAAATGTCAATGCTGTTGTATCAGCAATTATACCTTAATGTTGAATAGTTCAATAAAGTCAGATATCTGGCATTAAACCATTAAGTGCAGTGGGTTAACCCTCTGGTGGTGCAGCAGGTTAGACCGCTGAGCTGCTGAACCTGTTGAGCGAAAGATTGGCAATTCGAATCTGGGGAACAGGGAATGCTCCTGGTGTTAGGCCCAGCTTCTGCCAACCTAGCAGTTTGAACACAGGCAAAAATGAGTAGATCAATAGGTACTGCTTCTGTGGGAAGGTAGAAAGGTAACAGTGCTCCATGGGGGGAATGACATGAGCAGAGGTCTGTATAAGGACATAAAGCTCCATTGTTGAGGCTACTTCTGCCAACACAAGATATATAAATAAACTCAAGACATAGGCAGACATTGGATAAGCACTAGACTTCTTGGTTTTCACTGATAATATTACTGATGTACTCACAATACTTTCACAACCACATTTGAAGCAAACAATTAAATAATGTTCCATCATGGAAAAGGTTATGACTGTTTCTTTACTGGCAGTTGTTGCAAGGAAGGAAAAGCTACTAGGCATGAAGAAAAAGCAGAAAAGCCAGCAGAAGCAGTTGGAGAAATAAGTAGACAGATTAAACCAACCTGTTTTTTAAAATCAGCTTCATGGTAGATGATAGTCTTGGACTCTGAGTGCCACTCCTGCCTTCAGCCAGACACTTAAAGAATAAGGAGCTTGGAGCAGTTGTGTCCTTCTCGAATTGCTGCTGATGCCAACTTTATGTGCATTGAGACTGTCAAACTCTTCATGTAATGGACCGATATGTGAGTTGTTTGCAACATTAGAAGAGCAGCATTGCATTTTTACATGCATTAAAAATTGAGTGTGCTATAACTGCAGTGACAGCACAATATCCAAGAAAGGCTTGTGCTCCCTGTCTAACAAATGTGTAAACCAGGCTTTTATCCCCTCTTTGTGCCAAGAAAATGCAAAGCAAAGTGAATATAGGCAGCCGATCCTTGGGAATGTGTGATTTCAGGAGAAAGAGATGATCAGACTGACATCTTGTGGCCAGACCCTGAAAAACATAACTGAACTACAATCATTTTTCTTACTAGTTTTGTTTATTCTAGGAGGAATGGTAGCACAGTTACAACTCATTAAACCCCTCCTTATCAGCTTATGCTATTATTTCTGAAAATCACAAATGAAGATATGCTGGTGATACGCCATTACCTCTATCATCCATTGGTCGTTAGTGGGTTTGCAACCACCAAAAGGCAACTCTTGCCAATTGACAACAAGAGAGGAGTACTACACTTTCTCTGGCCTTTGAAACTTGCTTATATTTGCCTGTGTTTTTCAGTATGAATAGTTTCTTCTTGGCCCTTCTCCGCAACCATTCATGTTACTGTTTACAACATTGGCCTGTCTACTGTTGGTTAGTTTCCAACTACAGTAGACCTACTGACGCCATGATTAAATACTTAGTCAAAATGTAGATAGATACTATCAATTCAGTTTGGGAGTCAGGCCATTCTGTTGCATTTTGAGTTGGTTCCTGAACCCCTGCTTGGAGACACCTGTCAGTAGGAAGGCACTAGATCAATTTGTTTTTATTTTATTTTAGAGCCAGTTCAGCGTTGTGGTGCATCAACAGGTTTACTTGAGCAGAGACTTTGTGAACTACAACCCATATCATCGGGTCTATTTTTCTAATTTACCATTTCCATTTTTTAAAGAGGAAGTATCTGCAACTAGTTCAATATATTGCTGTAAAAATGAAGGATGTGTGTCAGAAATTCTAGTGCTATAACAGGACATTTAATGGAATTCCTTTAGCCATGTACATCTAACCATTTCCCCTTATCCATGGATTTGAGATCCATGCTTTCTCTTAGCTGTGGTCCAAAAAATATTCCTCCCCAGATGCATTTGTGGGCCTCTTTGGGACCGCCAGTGTAATTCTGTTTCCAGTTCAAGTATAATTAATAATTAACATTTATTTATAAATTAATCAAATGTATATCCTGTCTTTCTCTTAAATTGAGATCCATATAAGTTTGCAATGTTTCATGGTTTCAGGTATCCAGATATGAAGGTTGATGTGTACTTTAAAGCTTTGGATACTGTTTGCTCTTTGAGTTGATCTGTCTGTAGTCTGATCATGATAGCAACTGCTAGTCTTAATTTATACTTTTTTTATCTCAGGTTTCAACTCCCTGGTAGGAGGAATAATGGGATTCTCTATCCTTCTAAGTGCAGAAGTCTTTAAACACAATGCCTCTGTCTGGTACCTAGATGGAAGTATAGGAGTTCTAATTGGACTCACAATATTTGCTTATGGAGCCAAGTGAGTTTATTTACTCCTTCTGTTTTGGTTTGTATTTGCATGCTTATAAATACTGTGGTGACCTCATCCCTTATGATTATGCTTCAGTCTGTGTCCTGCGTGCCTTTTACCCAAACATACATGTTTTCTGTTAGATATCCTTCCCCTTCATTTTTCAACCATTGACATGTTTCTTCAACTTTGCATTGGTTAAGGAATAAATGTACAGTAGGCCCTCCACTTTTGCAGAGGTTATCAAAGCGGAACACCTGTAAAAGTTTTAACAACATAATTTAAAATGCTATTAATTTATGCAAGAGTACATCTCTCTGGGATTCTCTAAGTCCTCCAGCACAACTATATGGAGGTTGACACTGAAGTATCAAGAGAAAACGTATTTATTTATTTACCTCATTTTTCCCTGGGAATAAATAAATAAATAAATATATACACTGGAATCACTAGCAAATACTTGGTCCCACAATCAGCATTTAACTGTGTTCCTGAAGGTCAGGAGGGAGAGGGCAGATCTAATTTCCCTGGGGAAGGAGTTTCACAGCCAAGGGGCTACCACAGAGAAGGCCTTGTCTCTCTTCCCCACCAGTTGTGTTTGTGAGAGGGGTGAGACCAAGAGCAGGGCCTCCCTGGACGATCTTAACCTCTGAGATGGTTCATAGAGGCAGATACATTCGGAACAGGTAAGCTGGGCCAGAACCTTTTAGGGCTTTATAGGCTAAAGCCAGCACTTTGAATTGTGCTGGGTAGCAGACTGGCAGCCAGTGGATCTGGCGCAGCAAGGGAGTTGTGTGCTCCCCATACCCTGCTCTAGTTAGAAATCTAGCTGCTGCCTGTTGGATACTTGAAGCTTCCGAACAACCTTCAAAAGCAACCCCACGTAGAGCGCATTGCAGTAGATATAAATCAAATCTGTGAATAACAAAATCTGCAAAAGTAGAGGGCTGACTCTATTAGGGTGACTAAGCATTCATTACAGCTGATAACTAATCACCTTTGGGTAGTAACACCTGGAGATAAGACTTCAGAGAAACATTGCCAAGAACATCCAGCAGTACTAGATGTTCTGCTGGTCACCTATGACTGTTACCCTTGATCACCTGTTGCTTTCATTTGCAGGCTGCTTCTGGACATGGTCCCCCGCGTACGGCAAACGCGTCACTATGAAATGTTTGAATAAAGACAGAACTCAGCGACATGGACTGAATACATTTTGCAAAGTTCGATAAATGTCCTACATCCTGGCAACTGGTGCCAAACATATTTACAAGATTGTACGTTATTTCTCATGGTATATATCTTTTTTTACATTACCTTTCAAGGGAAAGTCTATTGGTGCAAATAGGTAAATTATGTGAGCTGCAGTAGCCTTTCCCTTTTGTGTGTTTGCTATTATCAAAACCCTGCAAGTGGCAATAGAAATGAATATGAATTCACAGTCCTAAACCAGCTGCTATGTTTTGTCTCCTGAAGTGGTCAGATTGTAAATGACATTCAAGTACTGTCTGTAGAAAAGGTCCAAACTCAGACAGGATGGCTGCAGTCATTTCTCTCTGTGGCACATTAGAAACTAATATCATGTGGCAGGCACTTCCATGGGCAAGAGGGTACTTTCTCAACTAGAGAAAGAAACGGCTTTTAGTTCCATTGCCACTAAAATTCCAGATTGGGATCTTCTAAGTCACTGCTCCAAAATCTTCTGGCAGAAAATTCAGTGGCATGTCTAGGTTACGTTTGCCAGCAGATGTTTCTTGATGCATGAAATTACCCATTCCCAATCGCAAATGATACCCTGGCCCCAATTACCGATTCCCCCAGCAACCTCACACAAATCCCAGTTCTGACTTAATGTCAAGAATGTTGTTCTAGTTCCATACTATTTTATGAAATTCTCTGAAATACATAAATACCTAGCACCACATAGAGTAAATTAAGATGCACAGACAAAATAAGCACAAAGTGTTAATATATAGGCAAAAGCCAAAAACTAAGAGTGAAGATGGATTATATGTGTCCGATTGTATTATGCACTCATGTAGCAATATGTCTGGCTAAATACACGGGTGTCTTGTTTCCTGGTGAAAGTGAAGTGTGATAGTTCCAGCTGGTAGTATGATAGCACCTTTCTACCTGTAAAGAATTAGAACTATTCTGTTGGTATTCATGTTCCCACCGTCTGATGTCATTGAGCACCTGGATTACAAATACCAACTCCCATTATATATAATCAATAAAGCTGTTACTTATTTTATACAGTACCTGTAGTTAACCTTTCGGGAAAAAAGTTATGGAGAGAGTTCATTCATCCCTTTTCCATTTAAATAAGTTAATGCTGGCACTTTTCATTAGAGTTTTTCTGCACAAGTTTCACTTCAGTCAATAATGGTATATTTTGGTATCTTTGAAGCTGTCAAGAGGTCAGAATAATACTTTGTACTTGGACCAAATGTGTTTTCCAAGTTAATGTGTGAATGATCATGGAAACTGCAGTGTGGAATAGTTTCACATGCAAGCACTTAAGTGTGGGATCAAGTTTGGAAAGCTATTAAGCAGTAGCACTCGCTTTTTTTTCATTCTTTGCTTGTATGTTCATACTCACATTGCAGAACTCCAAACAACAGTCTGATATTAGAAGTGTTTATTTTTAGACATTGCTGGCTCTGCGTTTGTGCAATCTGGAAGTTTAATGTTACTCTTTGGAAAGTAGTTTGTTTGAAGGTGCTGTCGTATGACCATTTCCCCACTTTCGCGTGAAGGCACTCAACCTTCCAGTGAAACACAATGTTTTAATTCATTCCATGCAGACTTCTGGATGAATAAATTGGAGATGTTTTTACAAGCTGAATATACATTTTACGTGAGTCAACTTACTATAGTAACAGGTTGTATATATTTGTATGGAGGTGCTTTGTCATGGAATTTATTTCTTGAACTCTACAGAAGTCCCGTTGGCTTGGACCATAGCTTTGATGCTTAGAAACTGCTATGGGAGTAATTTTTTCAATGAGCACAATCATTTTCCTATGAAAAGAAGCCTCTTCTGTAAATAAGGTAAAAAATTATTTTAAAACAAAAGCATTGGCCTAATTAAAAATAATCACTGTTTTTAGGCAGTGTGGTAGATATTCTTGACACTTTGATTTTGTCCCTTAAAACGAAAGATTTCAAAGTTGTAGCAAAAAACAAAGCCCATCCAGTTCACTATCACACCCTTGTGAGTAAGCGTGATCCCATGAATCTTTGTCATTTGAGAAGAAAGTATTTTGAGATACTAACTACAGGAAGATCTATCTAAGCAAGAAAATAAACAAAAAGATGTCCTGTTATGACATACAGATTTAGGAGGCCTGGATGTATTATTTATTTATTATTATTTCAGGCATTTATACCCTGTCCTTCTCACCCTCGAGGGGGGACTCAAGGTGGCTCACAACTGGCACCTATTAGATGCCAACAACAGTCATAATAAAATCACACCTAAACGTTAGTTAAAACAGTAGAATTAAAACATACATTTAAAATAAGACAAATCCAGAGTCATAATCTGAGGTAGGTTCATTGTCAATCACAGAAGTTATTTCCAATTATTATCACTCTGTCTGCTGCTCAAATGCTCAAATTTCTTCCTAAAGGATAGAAGAGAGGGTGGTTTTCCACGGATGGGGAGGCCACCACAGAGAAGGCCCTGTCTTTCATCCCCACCAATTGCGCTTGAGTATGGAGTGACTGAGAGCAGGGCCTCCCCCAATGATCTTAACCTCCGAAGTGGGTCATAGAAGGAGATATGTTCGGACAAGCAAGCTGGGTCAGAACCATTTAGGGCTTTATAGGCTAAAGCCAGTACTTTCAATTGTGCCCGGTAGCAAATGAGCAGCCAGTGGAGCTGATGTAACAGGAGAGTGCTCTGAATGTAGTCTTTGATACATATAACTTTTAAATTCAGTTTTAATAGAAGTTAAATAATATCCTTACAGTGCTTGTTCTCCATCCATAAAATGCAGTGTAAACTAATAATGTATGTTTGTGGGATTGCTGCAAGCATCAGGAAGGAAGAAAAAACAACTCAAGTCACACAAGAAAAAGTTTATTGAAAAATAAAATTCTCTCTAGTTCTCCCTACAACAGTGAAAACAAAAGCATTTTGTCAGCCATGAAAATACAGACATTTACACCTTAGTTTTAAATTGCCCATGTTATTACACCTCTAATTTGACAATTACACTTGCTGTGAAGCAAACTGCTTGAACAAAATATAGCGGAACACAATCTAGAAAATAAAAAAATAAAATTTCAAGCATGTTTTTTTATAAAACAAACAAACAAACAGTGCTTTTAGAACAGATTGTTAAACTTAAAAACATATTAAACCCTATTTGTTACTCAGTTGAATAGTACTCACATTCCCCCTTTTTCTTCATTATTATTTTCTCAACACCCTGGTTTGCCAAGAGGGTCTCTCTGCATGTGTTTTCTGGAGATAGTGAAACGAAAATTCACCTGTGGCTTTTGCTTTTCCGCCACCTCATTTTATTCACACTTGTGAAACCCTTTTTATGTTTTTAAGGTGTCTTTTAGTATGCAGCACTCAACTGCAGCAATCTTGATCACTGCCTCCAGAGTGCTTATCTGCCTGACATTAGTTCCACCACTAAAAGAGAATGGGCACCTGGTAAGCATAGATGAGATTCATTTTGCTTCAAACATCTACCCTTTGTGGTGGCCTTCTGGATAAGGAAAAATGAAAATGAAGCAGGATGTGAAGAAGAGGTGGGGGGAGAGGAATGAGAAATTCTGGTGCATGAGTGGAGATCCTCCCAATTGTGGATGTCATCCTCAATATATAAATGGTAGAACTGTGCATTCACAGTTGGTACAGCAGGAGAATAGGATTCACAGAGTTGGAAAAGATGACTATTCAGCATGACTTTGCAAGCCTAACAGCAAAAGACTCTAAAACTCTAATTTCCATTGTTCACTAATGGATGGATTAAATAGAATCAGAGAGTTGGAAGAGACCACATATGGTCATCTAGCCTCTGCTTAAAATTTTCCCAAAGGAGTCCCCATCACACTCCACATAGATGGAACTTGGACACTTTGGGAGCACTGAACTAATGTTCTAGTTATAAATGCAAATGTGTTACATGTTTGGGGAAACACATGCATTTTAACAAGAGAAAGCTTAAAAGCACTAGGGACATGAAAAAAGAAAAAGAAACAAACATACAGAATCCATGACTTAATAATCCAAATCAGGAAAAGTAACTTTTGGGCACATTGAAATGCATGTAATGAATCATTGGCATAACCTGTAACTGGACTGCTATGGTGGGGTTCAGAAAAAACACAGAACACAGGTTGATTTTAACATCTGAACATGAGACTGATCTTGAAACACGTTTGCCTTGGGTGGATAAAATGCCCACCCAAGCAGACTTGCATACCAAATTTTGTACCAATTGTGGAGTACCATTATGCTAATTTGTGCAGATCAGTGACGACTACAATTACAGCCATCAACAGGAGCTGAAAATAGAAATGTCTAAAGCAGCTTTAGATCATGCTTTGCCAACCATATACCTAGAAGCTCAAGGCACTTAACATTGCTGAGCACCAGATCTCATTTATTGTGATTTTTTTAAAAATGAGTGCCTCTTCGCTATACATGCTCATGCTTCTTAAATAATAGGTTTACTTTTCTTTCAAAGCATATCTAGGCTAGCAATTTCACATAATTTGCGAACAAGGCCAGTACTAGTACTGTCATCATAAAATGTAATACATTACTCAAGTTCTTGCTGCTTTTTTTATTTTTGGAGGGTGATCTAAATGAAAATGTTAACCTTTTTTAATCTTAACTTAAGCTACAACTAACATGATTTTGGATGGATTTTCTAAATATAACAAACAGTCCAAATAAAAGGAAGGATACTAACAAGTAGAAAGGCTAAAAAAAGTTCTGTTCTTTGAAATAGACAAACAGTTCCACAAAATATTCTAGCTTGAGTCCAGAAGGTAGCAAAACATTTTAACTATGGATCTAAAACTTATGTAGCAGATGTAATTTCAAATGTGCCAAAATACATTTTTAAAATAGGAAAAAAGTCTGCCCACTAAGCAAGAGAGACCATTGGACTGTCAAGATATGAAAATATCATGAAAATATTACATATTAATGTATCACTGCCTCTCCAAAGAATATTTCTATAATTTTTTAAACAGAGGCTTGAATTCTGTTGGCAGTCCCAAGTAGACCAGACCTGTTGAAACAACATGATTTACATAAATGTTGCCTCACCATCAACAGGTGATCCAGTAGGGGCCCTTCCACGCCGCCGTATAACCCAGAACATCCAGGCAGAAAATCCCACAATATCTGCTTTGAAATGGGTTATTTGAGTCCACACTGCCATATATTCCAGTTCAAAGCAGATAATGTGGGGTTTTATTCATCTGTGTGGAAGGGGCCTAGGTCTACTGATAGGGTTCAGACCAGGACCTGCTGAAACACTCAAAGTCTTCTTTGTGAACTAGCTGTATGACTGAAGCCAGGAAGAGCGAATAACAAAGAAGCCAATACAGCCATCTGGGAAGACAACAGTTTTCAGTGGCAAGTTGTGGAAATAAGATCTAACGCCATTAAAATAAAGTGTCTTTAAATCTTGGAATATTTTCCAGACCTTAAAAACCACACACACAGTTTGGTTACTGCTAGTGACATAGCCCTGGGGTTGTAGAGAAGCGTGTGAACAGTGGGATCGGAAAACAGAGGCGATGGGTGATTCTGACTGAGCAATGAAGTCAGGTCTGAGACTACCAAGAGGAGCAAAGCACCCTAATCCCTTTGGGGCTGTTTCTTTTTTTTTTTAAGTACTGGTACCTGGTAAGGAGGATGGGGAAGAACTTATGTGTGTTTCTTTCTCTTTTTAGACAGCTTCTGGAATGTTTATATGGTAAAGCTCATAGCTTGATTATCACAATTTTTTCTGAGACATTAGAATAAGTTTTTCAAAACATCATGCTAATAACTGAATAAAATGGAAATGTTTCCCACATTTAAACAAGAGAGTAATAGGTACTGCGTCCATATGAATAGAAAATCATAATTCACAACACCTTCACACTCCGTAACAAAACAGATGAACCAATCCAAAAGATACGCTAGTTTAGAAAACAATAATGTATGGGATTAATGCATTTCTGTCAATTTATATCTTCTAATTCTGTGATACTGGGCTTCACAAGTACAGCTTCATAGAATCATAGAGTCCAATGCCATTTTACCGTGCAGGGACACACCATCAAAGCCCTCCCAACCATAAACCTCAATCTTTTGGATATGGGGGCAACTGGATTTTGTCCTTCCTTTTTTGCTAAGATGTAGTACAAATAATGCCTTGGATAAGTGCATTAGTTATAGACGCAAACATTCAAGTACAAATATCAATAGGCAACATTCTGTTGACAAGTTTGCAGGTTGTAGGATGTTCTTTGCTTCGACACCTTTGTCCTCTCCCAATAGAAAATACAATTATAAAAAATATTTATTTACATAAAGTCTATTAATCATCAAAACTCAGTGTTCCATTACAGTTATTCAGGCATTGTCTGCATCCCAAACACACAATAATTGAAAATAAAAATTAAAGGCACACCTATTAGCAGAATGTCTTATCGTTGCCATGCAAAAACCAAAAATACCCTCTCTAACCACTGCACCTCTGGACTACAAAAGAGACAAACGATTAAAACTATGTGAAATATACTCAAAGCATACTTATTTATATGTGCAAATCAACTTGCATATATGAAATAAATGAGGTTTTTATTGGCATTTTAAACAGTGTATTTAATAGTTACCTTTCAAAGGCAAGCTTTTAATGTTAAAAATTTTAAAAATAAATTATGTAAATGCTTCTCTCAAGTTTTGGTAATCTCACCGAAGAGTTTAAACATACCAGATCAAAGAAAAACATACATACATACATACACACATACACATTTCTACAAACCTGTAAATAAAGAAGGAATTTTTGATATATAAAGACTTGTTGCTTCTGGTGATAATGTTTTTCATTGTATTTTTTGACTTCATGGAAATCCATCAATTACATTTGGTATGTAAAACCAAAATCTGACAGATTATGCCTAGCACTGGAAGCTGTTTGAAGAAAAAGACCTTTATTTTTACTTAGATCAGTGGTTCTCAACCTGTAGGTCCCCAGATGTTTTGGCCTTCAACTCCCAGAAATCCTAACAGCTGGTAAACTGGCTGGAATTTCTGGGTGTTGTAGGTCAAAACATCCAGGGACCCTCAGGTTGAGAACCACTGACTTAGATCTTCTGAAAATAAATTCTCACTCATTTGTTTTTTGCATTTAGCCTTAAAGGAAAGTATTCAAGTGAAGCAAGGAAGGCATTCCCTACAGCGTATCCATAGATTTCTATAGATTTAATGGACACCTTGAGAACAAAATGCCTTGACAGTCATCTACCAGCTTACAGAATAGATAGCTAACTGTTCAGGACTCATTTGTTCTTGCATTCAAAGGCAAATGCTTTTTTTGAAAAAAGAAGTCCCAGGTCTATCAAGCCTCTATCAAGCCTATGCCAACTGCAACAATGATTTGTTGAAGCTTCAGGCTGTATTCCACCACCAAGTCTTCCAAGTAAACAAATATTGCATTTGCCATATAGCAAGGCAAATGTACAACTTAAATAAATCCCTTCCATGATCAGCAGTGTATTGCTGACATAAAAATGCAACAGAAAAGTATGAAACATCTCAGCAAGTCTATCAAAGGTCTGCTTCTATTTTCAGTTATATACTATAACATTCTTACAATAAGAACTTCGTCTGTTTTATTTTCCTGTACAATCACTCAAGATTTTCTACCCTGCCACTAAGCAGCTAATTTTTTTGTTTGTTTTCTTTTTGGCCAATGAACATCAAGTCACTACGCTAGCCACTTGACAGCTCTATCATCTGCTGAAAGCCCTATATTGCACCAACATACTAGCAAAACCCTATGCTTATCCTAGAGCTCATTCTGGCCTATTTCCCTCCAGAAAGTCATATATGAAGACAGACAAGCACACAAGGAGAATGTAGTGTCAGAATATGAAATATATACCAACACTGAAGGAAAGATCCTCAAGTGATAGATCAGTTTCCTAACCATTCCTGCTACAACTTTCCTGCAACTGGCCTAGCCTTCCTAATTGGACGGCTTTTTCTGAAGGAGTAATATTAGACTGGAGCATTACTAATCTGAAAAGTAATATGAAAACATTTATAAAGATGTATTTACAGTGCAGAACCATTTCAGAGCTACCTGTGGTAGTGCTTTTTTTGCCTTCGACTTGGCAAAAATCTGTTTTAATCCAAGAACATATCATAGATGAAATAATTTAGGTCAGTTATCAAATGTGCCAAAACTGAGAATGGTCAATTATTATTATTATTATGCAACAAAAACAAAACAAATTAAAATGTGGGGCAGTTCTTCTTGTACTTTCAGACAGTGAGCTTAAAATTCGTTGATACTAACCCACAAAATATTAAATTCCAGGTGCCATATAATGCAGAAATTCAAGATGTGAGTTGGCCTTTTCATTCTGAAAGCCAATTGGGTAAAGCCTAATACAGAGTTTGGATCAGCTGCTGCTCAGTTTCAATTCCACAAAAACAGTTTTAGTTACTTTGATGAACCATTTCCCCTGTTATGTTATGGATGTTTAGCACCTTTACTGAAAAAACAATTCTGGAGATATGACTGTACATAAAACGGTTAGAAAAGGGAAATATTCCATCAGAATGGAAAGAACCAGATTTTAACTCAAGTCTGCCATTATTATGTTCCATAATAAAAATTCTTTCTCACAAATATATATGCATGGATTTATATGCAACTGAAATAAGCGTATGCCTTAAATCATACACAATGTTAGTGGGGAAAACAACACTAAATGTTCAGCTGGTTTTTTTTCAGTTTCACCGAGAAAAGTGAGCCTTCCACATTAGGGGCACAGGATTCCCATGAAAGTCAAAGTTGTGAACACAGAAATTGCTTTATTTATCTGAGAGAACACCACTCTAGGAATTTCTATGAATCGAAGTCATGCTGGAAGACCTAGGACTTCTTTCACCGGCAGTTGTGGGTGGTGCAGGCGGGGCGCCTCGTGGTGCCCCTCCCTTCTTTCCTCATTATATGGTAGGGATGGGACAGGATGCATTGGTGCCCTTTCCATGTCCCCATCAGATGGGTGAAAGGGTGGCAATGCACATTGCTCTGCTACCCTTTGCCCCGTCATATGGAGAAAAAGAGAGGAAAGTGTGGGTAGCTCCACCTGAGCTATCAAAAAAAACTTTCCGGTTCCCCTCTACATCGGGAGTAATGTGGGTGGGGTCAAGCCAGTGATGCTTGGCAGGCTCCATCGACAAATGGAAGAATGGGGCAAAAAAAAAAAAACCCTATGTGAAGAGGTCCCCAGACTGGAAGTTGGCCATAGAATCACAATGGAGGATGGAGAAATGCCTAGAAATCTTGAGATCCTCCAGCATGACTAGAGGCAAATGACCACCGAGTCAGACTGAAGGACCTGGAGATTTCTAGAGAAAAAAAACCCCATGAATAATAAAATCTAAAGTCAAAACCACAAATATAGAGGAAGAACTGCAAACTTGTGTTTCTGGTTCTTTGGCATGCAACTGCACCTGGAAATTGATAACTGCATTGGCTCTAAAACAAGATGGCCTGAACTCGTTTAGTAATGTATGTTGGTAGATGCAGTAGCTTTTAAGGCCATTGCAAAAGGAGGTATCCAGCACCTACCTGTGCAATGACATCCCATCACCAACTCTCAAGCTACAGCCTGTGGGCACTGTGGTAGATCCCATGGCCAGTGAATGGGAAGCAAGCATGATCCCGGGGACTATTTGATTGCAGTTTTGTAACCAGAAAGAGGAAGAGCCCTCACCTTGTATTGATAGGCTGAAGGAGTGTCTGCATGGTCAAGGGGAAACACGTGTGACAATGGAAGAAGAACACAAGCAAAAGAAATTTTGCAGAGTTTTACACTCTGCCATCAATCATGCAGGATTTCAGCCAATGTCCGCAAACACAATACTATTTGTCAAAGCGGAATGACACCAAGTAGATACTGGCCTATATTTTTAAATGTTCTGTTTTTAAGCCTTACCTTGACAATTTGTTTGAGAATAATTTTCTCTTCTGGTCTTTGGCATGTCAAGAGCTATGCTAGTGCTCATAGAAGAAAGTAATGAACTATATTACAAAAGATAGAAATTAAGTGTATTACTTCATGAGTAGAAACAGCAGAAGAAAACCAAAACAGCATATACAGATGCAATATTGAAAATAGTCCAACCTTTCCTTGCTGCCCCGACCTACAGTAGCTTTCAAGACCTTACTGCAGAACTATGAAGGCTTCTCTTTACCAAATGCCATTTACATAATCCACAAGTAGTGCATATAAAGATGTGTCAATTGTGCAGCAAAAACATTTTTTGAAATAAAAGATACTGTACATTTTTTAAAAGGAAGAACTCATTACATGTCTACGAGCAAAATCTGAGTCCAGCACTTTTCATTAACTGTAATTGTACATAACTGTTCTGTTTCCACGTATTTTTGTTAACTATAAAAATGGCAGAAAAGAAGCCCCTCTCTTTTGTAGCAAAGGTGTAAATGGTGTGTGTGTTCCACAGTAGCTCTTTCAGTTGCCAGAAGATTACATGGCAGGCCACACTTCTACCACCAATTGTTTCAGGAACAGCCTCATTTCTACTCTCATCTTTCAGTTTCACTACTTTAACAGAAAATTCAAGAAAATATTGCTCAGAGGAAGCCATACTGCTTTCAATGATCACAAAACATTTCTAATTGCCACCTTGTGAAAAAAAACCTAGGGTGAATTGAGAAGTGAGCGCATTCATGATTCTAGACAGGGTGCTTATGTGGCTACGGAAGCCCTGACTGATTCCAGTCATGACCCATGATTCACCCAGGAAGGATCTCTTGCTCTAGCTCGCCTCATTCATGGTGCTGCTTCCTCAGTTCTCTCAATGTTGCATGGGTTGTAAGTGACACTGCTCGATATGTGACAGGTAAGAGAGAAACCAATAGTCAGTGGTGAGATGTTCAGTAGCTGCATTATCTTGTAGTTCCAAGTTTGCAGGAACAGCACCAGCCATTCAGAGTTCAGGAGAATGCTAGAGTCTGTATGCCCAGGATATGTTTTGGAGTCTTTCATGCACTGCCTTTTTCACGTCTGCTTTTTGTACTGGTGACATAATACTCAAAAACAGTTCTTTACCATGGTGAGTTGTTTAGAAGGGAAATGCAAAATATCCCAAGCTTTTGTTTTACCTCTTACAAAGTGTTGGGTTCCATTTGTCCATTTCTCCTTAAGTAAATAAAGAGACTTCCCATGGGCTTCATGGCAGTTGCTGACTTAGGAAACCCTTATCACCAGAGATTTTATTTTTAATCTTCTTATTTGTTCCATTCTTGGTACAGACTTCTACTCTTCAGCAATTGTTCTGCCTGCAATAGCAAAGTGCAAAAAAAATGGCAGTAGCTCTCTAAGCCACGTGCTTTGTTTGTCCCTTCATAAAGTCACGTGAGTTGCTGCTATAGACAGTCTTTACAAAGTGCAACTTGTCCTTTAAGATAGTCTCTACAAGGGCAGATTCTTTTGTGGTTTGGATGAGATCCTGCACAGCTGAATAACAAGAGATCACCTTGGAAAACACAGTGCTTTCGCCTTTCATCAAAAGAAGGAACCAGAATATCATTTGTGGACTCAACCGTATGGCATTCAATGCTGAATCTGAAAAAAAACACACACACATAAAAAGAAATGCAATAGGAATCACATCATTTTCTCATTTAGTGACCCAATAAGTAGTGAAACTTATGATCTGTAGAGCTGTACTGCTAATATGAAAGTTCTACCACTTAAAGAAAAAAACAGATTTATTCTTACGTAAATGTTCAGTCCAGCATTTTAATTACACAGAGACCAACTATTTAAAATAATTTCTAGCACTCACTATGATTTCACTGTACTAGAAGCCGGTGGCTGTTGTTAATGCTAGTTCTTGAGCAACTTCAGTGGCATATGAAACCAAGTAACACAACAACATGACATCCTGCAGTTGTCATACACTGAATGTAGCCTTCTACTGTTACATCCAATGCACAGTGCACAAAGTGATAAGAGATTTTTGTGGAGAAGCACTCAGCTATACACTATTGCATATTGGATATCAATAGGCCAGGAGGTGGCCCTCCAAATGATACAGAATTCTAATTTCCATCGTATTAACAAGGAGTGTGGATACCTGGGTCACTTCCCAACAACTGTAGATGCAACAAATAAATGTGCAGTACCTTCATGCATGAGAACAGAAGATACAGCATTTATTTTATCAATATCCATTGCACACCCCTCTAGGAACAAGTACTTGAAAATGAGAGTTCAGTGCTGCCAGGACTGCAATTTGTTGATTAAGACAGAAATTGGAGAAAGAAAGCCATTTTAACTTTTGATACTGACAAAGCATACTGGGTAGAAATTCCCACATCTAATAATGCTTCATAGATGTATCTAGTGTATGCATGAATGCCAAGTCATTAATTGAAAGCCACTATCTTTCTAAACATTGAAGCTCTAACATGTCTGTGAAACACAGATTGATAGTTTCCTGCTGTCATTTACGATTTCTTTAAAAAAATGTTAAACATGGAATTAAAAACTCTCTCATGTTTTCTTATCCCTTAACTTGCAAGACTTACTTCAAAAGGTCTTTGTCCTTGTTCAGGTGCTGGAAAAAGGATGGCTCACAGATAAGATGATTTTCCTGACAAACCTGTTTGCATGATTTTCCAGGCCCAGCCATTTTAACTTGAAGGGCACTTAATGGGGGCCACATCACTTGTCCGTGGCAGAAATCCTGAAATAACATAGCACATTTTAAAACTACATAGATCGCAGCACACAAATGGCACTTGGCTGTTATTAAAAATCTTCAGACAATTCATTCAAGACTGCAATGTAATCCTTGTGGATCAGAGTCCAGATGTCACATGATCACTGCAAAATTTGCAAGTTTACAATGGTCCCACCCTGGAAGAGAGCTGGCATACAAGTGTAATAAATGAAATACTGTAAAGCAACATATATGATTACCATCTTTCCTATAAGCTGGAATGAGGACTGGTAACTTCATGCGTGGTATAGTGGTTTGACTTTAGAACTAGCATGGGCAAACTTTGGCCCTTCAAGTGTTCTGGATTTCAACTTCCAGAAATCCCAGCCAACTTACCGGCTGTTGAGAATTGTGAGAGTGGAAGTCCAAAAGACACGGAGGGCCAAAGTTTGCCCAGGGAATTAAAACCCCTGCTTTCTGGAAAAACCAACTGGATGACCTTGGGCAAAACACACTCAGAGGAAGGTAAAGGAAAACTTCCTGTGAACAGATCTTGCCAAGAAAACACAAGGATAGGTTGGAAGTTGGGTTACCATGGGCCAGAAAACAGCATCACTAAGCTGAGAGGGCGAAATAAATAATGTGCACCAAAGAAGAACTCAAACAGAGCAGTTTCTGCAAGATGACAACATGCCAGTGAAGGGGCTAACTGGACCTGAAAGGAAAAGGTCTTGAAGTGAGGACAGCGAACTTAGTCTCTGAGGCTGAATGTGGTCTCTCTCAGAGCTACATCTGGTCCTCCAAAATTTCCCAGAAGGCCAAGCCTGGTTCTCCATAATCTGTGTAGGAGGCCTTTGTACATTTTGGAAGACTAATGCAACTCTCTTAAGGCTTAAAATAAGACAAAGATGGGATCAAGGCCGTAACTGCACTTTTTCCATATCACTATTGCATTGAATTTACGGTCCACAGGCTTGGTCCCACAGCCACATTTTTAATTTCTTTCTAAAGGTCAGGAGGGAGGGAACCGATCTAATTTCACTGGGGAGGGAGCTCCACAGCTGAGGGGCCACCACTGAGAAGGTCCTGTCTCTCGTCCCCACCAACCGCACCTGTGAAGGAGGTGGGACTAAGAGCAGGGCCTCCCCAGAAGATCTTAACCTTCGAGGTGGCTCACAGAGGGAGATTCGTTCAGACAGGTAAGCTGGAATCATATCTGTATCATAGAAGCCAAGTTGATAATTTTCAGGGAAAGAGAGTCATACACACACATTGAGGAAAAACCTAACCCCCTCTTCCCCGCAAATATGTTTTATTTGTTGGCATTCTGACGGTAGTGTAAGGAATTTGTGTGGACAGAATTTACTGATGAATTCGAGAATCGTTCTTCAAGAAAAAGGCACAGAACAAATGTCTACAGATAAATAAAATATACCTGCTTCTCAATGAACACATTCATTCTCTGCAGCATTCCTTCACATGTGAATTCAAAGGGCAAGTAAGGTTCAATCTGTCAAAAATAAAATACATTTGTTTATTGGTGATGATTTTTAATAAAATATTTACTATTGTGCCCCATGTTTGGAGAATGGCTCCAATAGTGTTTATTACAACCTGGACCCAACTGTGTCACAGTACTTCAGCAATTCCAGTTATGCAAAGTGATTTGCATTTTTGAAACTTGCACAGACTGGTGTGGAGTTTTCCCCCCTCCTCTTTCTGGCAGGTTTCAGTACTTCCTCTAAGCAGATCCTACATCACACAACCAGGAGGAAAATAGAGAAATGCTTTGGCCAAATAAATTCATTTTTTGAGGAGGTGGAGGAACCGAAGCCTTTTTCTTGTTGGCTGGCCAGATCCCTTTCTTGTAAAAGAGGTAGCTGCTTCAAAAACTACTCTAAGGAAGACCAACATTTGAGGACAGATGGTTGTCTGGCAGCAACAATGAGCAACATTTATGAGAGAAGAGGCAATGCAGTGCAATTGCAGAAATAAGTTTACTAGCTATTCTGCTTCATATCTCATTTCTTCACCATGACAGTTCTCTTTAACCAGAGAAACAATTTTGTGATATTCTAATATATGTATTTCGATCAACTTCTTCAACATGGAGGCAACTTACTTGTTCAGGATTAATATTATTCCTTTTTTTTTTTAAAAAAAGGACAGACTATACATATATTCTGTTGTGATGTAACAGGCACAGGATAATTACTCCCCAAAGAGAAACAAGTATGGAAGTACAATTATTCATGAAAAGTTTGGCAAGATCTTTCCTTCCTGGTTTGAAAATATATTCTAGCTTTCTTAGGTTTTGACATAATTTGTTTCTTTCAGTGAGTCATGTGCTACTTTGGATGTATATATTTGCATATTCATTACGAAAAGGTGAATGGTATTTCTTGTGCTTTGAGCCACATACCTGTGCAGAATATGACCTTACCGTGGGCGAAACATCAGGAGATAATGCTTCTGGAACATGACCATACAGCCCGGAAAACTCACAGCAACCCAATATGACCTTAATTTGGGATCATCACATTACGACAAAACCAGTTGTATAACACTTTATTCTGGCTTTATGATGCAAGCCTTTTTTGTTTGTAACGAAGCATATTTAGGAACTAATTACAATGAGGTATTAAAAAACTTTTAACCTTTTGACTCAAAATGGCTTTCACTGCCTTCTCAACTTCCGAAAGGTCGTTGATATTTACAGTCCAGACATGAGGCCTTCCAATATAGACTTCGGCGTAGGGGTGTTGAGATGTCAGCTGAAAGAAGAACCAAACACCAGTTGCAGACACCCAATACTCTGTATATTCAAAATGTTCAAGTCCATCATTTGGCAAATCTCAGAGACAAGCCAGGCCCTATCCAGTGATAGCTCAAATCAATTCTAGGAAGGATGTCAAATTCTTTGAATGGAACCACCTTTCACAAGAAACTCATAAGCTGGTTCATTATTCAGAACCAGAGACGTACCTCAGTTAAAAAACACTCTTATGGTGAAGGTCCTTTTTGCTCCTCCTTAGCTTCCCTTTCCCCCTTTCTCCATCTAGCTAGAAGACGTACAGCATCAGCATTAGGAGGATGGTGAAGGAGGGCTGGATAAATACAGCTTTTCTGTATTGGGTTGCCACAGTGTGTTTGCAATGAACAATACAATCAAGTTTGAACTGGGAAAGAGTGGGCTCTACTCCAGCCAATCCTACAGGCCATGTGTGCCTACCTAGCCAAGGAAATAGTAGTTGCCTCCAGAATGCTTTACTGAATGTGTGTGGACAGCAAACAAAAAGAGAGAGAGAGAGAGATGACCCTGGAAATGGATTACCAAAATGGAAATCAGAAGAAATGTGGAAACTGTGAAAGAAAGTCATTCCTGGATATGTATCAGGAAAAGCTTTCAAATGCTCTCTAGAAGGATCAAAATGTTTTATTGACTTATATAAGGCTTATCTGTCATGGCTGTTTATTTCACATGTGCATACTTTTTTAACCAGTGATTCCCAACCTTTGGGCCTCCAGGTATTTTGAACTTCAACTCCCAGAAATCCCAGCCATTTTACCCCATTAGGAACTGTGGGAGCTGAAGTCCAAAACACTTGGAGGCCCAAAGGAGACCCGTTGTATTAAACTATGATGCAAACATTTACTGAAACAGTTAAAATTCTTGTTTGTTTGGGGGTACTGCCACCTATTCCCCTCTTCCCTTGTTAATTATGCCTCTGGTATCAAGTTTTCTTAGGTGAGGTATTTCTGTATCTTTGTAGAAAAAAAAAAACGTTAATGTACAAGGCCTGGCAATATATGAGTAGCTCAAGGGGGTTTAAATCTCCACTGCTCTTTCTTTATCTTCTGGTCTGGCTAGTACTTAGGCACCACACATCAATTTCGTATTTTACATAGCCCAGGCTCACTGAGAAGACTTCTTAATAGTTTTTTCCTGCTCTCTGGCCAGGACAAAAGTACCTTTTAAAAATATCACTGAAGATATTATTGGTAGTCACATGATTTATGAAAAGGATGATTACTTTATTCCATTTTGCTACCAGCAGACCACAATTAAAATTGAATTTCATGCTGTATCTCTCCTCCTTCAGGAAGTTAATGGCCCATTTGATTGCTCTTTCCAGGAACCAAAGCAGCTAAACAAATACGTTTCAGTATATTGATTTAAAAACAAATATTTTCATTATGAAAAAGAAATTCTATCACAGCTAGAATATTGTTTGCACTTGTTTAATAGACTACATGTGGTCAGCATACAAGATGCAGGTGGTATTGATTTCACTAAATAATAAATACTCACGGAGAACCAAAGGGCTACAAGAAGGTGCTTTGAAAAAATAGGAACCAGTATGTGGGATCAACTCTTATTAAAAGAAAGAATGCCTAGCAAAACTGGAGTGGATTTCCATTTCTTTTCCTTTTTCTCATTTAAAGCTAATTAATTTAGGTTAAAAATGTACAAGCATAAATATGGTGTTGTCCAAAGAAGTTTAACTGAGAGATGAGATGTGGCTTTATAGTCATTATATTAAAGGATTTTAAAAGGTATCTAATGCCCGGAACCTTCAACTAGTCCAACGATTGGCAGCCAGGTTGCTCACCAGAGCAACTTACAGGGAACATACAATTCCTTTGTTACGCCAACTCCACTGGCTACTGATCAGCTTCCGAGCACAATTAAAAGTGTTGGTTTTAACATTTAAAGCCCTAAACGGTTCTGGCCCAGACTACCTGTCCAAATGTATCTCCTGCCACGAACCATCACAAAGTTTAAGATCTTCAGGAGAGTCCCTGCTCTCGATCCCACCACTATTGCAAACACGATTGATGGGGACGAGAGACAGGGCCTTCTCAGCAGTGGCCCCTCCTCCCTAGAGATATCAGATTGAGTCCCCCTTTGGGGGGAGAAGGGTGGGGTATAAATATAGGAAATAGATAAATAAATAAATAATGTTTTAAATGTTTGTATACAGTTTTATCACATTGGGAACCTTGATGGGTGAGTTGGTACACTGGCTGACCAACAGACAGATGTGAATCAGGCATAACTCAGTGGGAGCCCTGTTCCTTATTCAGTCTAATTGGACCTTTTAATTGCTTAAAGATGCTTCAGAATACCCTGTGAAACAATAACCCCAAACATTTCCCAAATTCTACTCTATGTCTACTAAAATGACAAATCGTTAGTAAGATATTCAAAAAATGATGTGTTACAAAACATGCTACTTATGTATCCAGTCAACAATGTGCACAAAACAAGTGGGTGTAGCAACTGGCTCCTTACCTCTCGGAGAGTTGGCTTGCCTTTGAAGAAGTCTGTGTTTTTGCTGCTTTTGGGTGGATTAAACTTTGGATTCAGAAATGCACATCCATTTGCGATGGCCTCCAGTGGAGCAGGGCCCTCATATGGAAAACCAAGGCCAACAAAGAGCTGCAAAACAGAAACATTTTTTTAAATGAGTAAAACCAGATATTAGTGTAACATGAAAGCTGTTTGATACCTATTAAAGTCTGAGAAGTCTAGAATTCTTCCTTCATTCTGTGTAAAGACTATGACTATGCACACTTCAAGACATCAAGCTGGCTTTTGTTTCCCTCTCCTTTCCATCTCTCACAAAAAGTATTCTTATAACACTTTGACTGATGGAGGAGCGCTGGAGATCTCAAAAGCTCATCTACAATTTTGTGAGTATTTTGTTGGTGTTGATAGGCTATTATTAGCCTATTTTTGAAGGTGCTTACCAGCTCAGAAAGCTTGCTTTTCAAGATGAGAAATGGGCTACCCTAAAAATCCAAAACATATATAATATAACAAGCTTGGAAAAGTTACTTTTTCAGTTATAATTCCCAGAATCCAAAGGGTCACAATGGCTATGGGATTCAGAGATCTAGATTTGAGGAGGGTAGTCCAACCAACAACTTTTTTAAAGCTCTTCTGCTAATAAATGGGGAGGTGAGATTTGTGATTTGACATATGATTCAAGAAACTATTTAGCTTGGCATAGAAGCCCACAAAAGTATAAATTAAAATTAAATGATCATTGCACTGCTTTGATAAAAGAGCCCATCAAATATCCTCCCAAACTGACCATCTTTCTTTTATGGCTGAAATGAAAATGATGAAAGCCTTTTCAAAATTAAAATGCATAAAGTTCTGTGCATATCTACAGAGCACTGGAAGTAAGATGGGGGAGGAAATTAAGAAGAATGGACATCATAGTTTAAGTGTTTCATGCAGCCAAAACTCCAATGGAAAAGGAAAACGGGTTTACATTGTCTTGCATTATTGAACTAAAGCATTTTTGCAGCTCTGTTAGTGATACTTTTCTCTCATTACTAAAATAATATTCCAAAATTTGGTCTTCCATATCCTTTGGACTTCGGCTCTCAGAAATGCTGGTCACTGCCCAAAGTAGCGGAGGCTTCTGGGAGTTGAAATCTAAAACATCTAGAAGACCAGACTCGTACAAGCCTGCCCGGGCCCTGAGATCTTCAGGAGAGGGCCTTCTCTCGGTCCCACCTCCATCTCAAGCTTGGTTGGTGGGAACAAGAGAGTGGGCCTTTTCAGTGGCTGCCCCTCAAGTTGGGAACGCCCTTCTTCCCAGAGAAGTCAGAATGGCCCCCTCTCTGGTGTCCTTCTGGCGGCAGGCTAAAGCCTTTTTATTCAGACAAGCTTTTAAAGATGAAGGTGTTTACGATCTAGACAGGGGTGCTGTGGCTTTTAACTCTGACTTTGTTCTAATAGTTTTTAACTGATAATTTTTAAATACTGTTTATATTTAATCCTGTTTTAATGTTTGGATATTTTTATATTTTAAGTAGTTACGCTAATGTTTTTAGGTTAAGCCACTTTGAGTCCCCTTCGGGGGAGATAAAGCAGGGTGTAAATAAATATAATAAATAAACAAATAAAGGTTGAGAACCATTGCTCTGCAATGAATTACTGGGCCCATCATAGAGCATCGCCATTATATGGCCCGTAACCTAAAGCAGTCTTTCTTAACCTGTTGGTCCCCAAGTGTTTTGGCCTACAACTCCTAGCAATCCCAGCCAGTTTACCAGCTGTAAGGATTTCTGGGAGCTGAAGGCCAAAACATCTGGGGACCCACAGGTTGAGAATCGCTGATCTAAAGGGACCTCACTGGGAGAATGCAAGACAAGGCTTTCACCATAGGCACATTTTGATTATGAAATTATCTCCATTAGTCCCACACTTGATAGCATTGAGGTAGGCAGTGAAAGCATTCCTCTGCTTTGCTTTCAATCGTTTTTAAACGGAAGCCATTTCTTTGTTTTTTCTTTAGTTTAAGGCATCAGCTGAATTATTATTTGACGAGGTTTTGCCCTTCCATGCAAATAACTTTAATGGGGTTGAAAAGTGGTATAAAGTCCCCTATAAATAGGATATAGCATTAATAGGGCCCTTGTTAGATTTGGGCTCAGAGAGAGATGTTTCCATAAAACTGATAGGTTTGATCAGAATTCAATTGCCTCTCACATACGCAGCCTGAATTCATGTTACATGCTTGCTTACAATTGACATGGCCTAAAGTGTCTCGCGCAATACAGTACCACTTGTAGAGGGACACTTTTGGAGAAGCCTTCCACTTACAAACAGAAGGTGGCAGCAAAGTTTGCAGGAATGTGTGCTCTTAATCCACAAGAGCCAAACTAAAAGGAAGAGCAGCAAACAGCTATTCTTAGACACTGTTTGCATATTACAGGGAATAGGTAAGAGAAGGTATGAATGATTTACAAGGAGACATATTTGTGGCTTTCCATCACCATTTTAGCACTTACACTTCCCTTTTCTCAATTAATTTTTTTTCTTGTAACATGCAAAAAGCAAGTTGCTACTGAACAGGCAAACTTAGTACTGAATAATATTAATGACAAATAGTCCATTGTCCAAATGGGATGTCGAAGCATCCTTCCAGCAGATTAAAACTTTCTGAATTTAACCTGCATACAATCTTAACAGTGTCCAGATAATACCAGAACCTCATGTAACAAAGAAAAAGAAAATCAGTCAAGTCAAATCCTGCATTCATGCTTGCCATTTTAGCATAAGCAAGCCTTAATCCCCAATCCCTTGGCACAGATTATTTAGCATTATTTCCTTGAATGACTGTAAACAGACATTTATGGGCATGATTCAAGCTCTCTGAGAGCAAGTACACTGGATAAGTAGGTAACAAATATTTAGTACAGCTTATGAATATACATCTTCAAAAGAATAATGAGGCAAAGTGCCATCTGTCTGCAAGATGTTCTAACTTGATAAACAGGGTGCTTTTTGTTAAGAGGCCAAGAATGGCAGTGGAAGGCTTAAGATAGGGAGGGGGAAAGCTCCCAAACAAAACCTACTCATAAATTGATAGCTATATCACATTTTGCTAAGAGTTCTCTTCTCAAAAAAAGAAAAGAGGAACTCAAGATTTATGGAGCTCAAGACGATCTATTTCTCAAGTCCCTTACCACCAAAAGCAAAAAAGTAGACACTCTACTGAGCAATTAAATTATATCTTTTAATTAGCTGCAACTGGAACATGGCTGAACCATTAATTAAAGGATTTAAGATGTCACCAACAATTCAGTAGTGGCCCGGTTTTAATTAGTTACAGAAAAGGATACTACGGAGTAGATAAACATTCTCCAGCTTTTACATCAGTACTGTTGAACATCTTTTCACTTCTATGCTGTCAACGTATTTAATGAAAACTCCCGGGGGAGGACATTGGAGCAAGCACCTTTTGACAACACAGGGGTTTCTGTTACTGCTTAATAATAAATGCAGCAGCAACGCTCTTCCACAGCCATGGTAAACGACTGATGTAACTGAAAATCATATCTTCAAAGTAACTGCATTATTCACTTGGCAAGTTGATCAAAATACCGGTAGCACAGTAATGTTGACATGAGACAATACTTTTAGTCCTTTTTTGCAGGAATGAATTTCAGAAAGTACTAAAAATCCTTTCCTACACACCATAAAGCAAGGTTTTACCATTATTATTATTAGGATAGCCCACATTTTTGAGGTACTGCCAAATGGCATTGTGAAACACTATTCAAATTCTGTCTTCTAGTGGAAATGATGCATTTAATTATTTTGCCTTTGGGGTTGTAAACTGCATCCTTTGGAAACCAAAAGCATAACTATATTGTGATGCTCAATCTCTCTAACTTTCTATAAATCTTCATGACTGAACATTAACATTATGGCAAGGTTCAGTGTTAAAAAAGTGCTGCCGAAGGACGCTCGATGTCAGTATTTTTATTTTGAACCCTCAGATAAAACATAAAGCCCTAAACAGTTCCAGCCCAGCTTCCCTATCCGAACATATCTCCCTAAAGGAATAATCTTGGAGATTAAGGTCACCCGGGGAGGCCCTGCTCTCGGTCCCACCTCCCTTGCAGGTGCAGTTGATGGGGACGAGACAGGACCTTCTCAGTGTTGGCCCCTCGGTTATGGAACTCCCCTGGTGACATCAGATCAGCCCCTCCCTCCTGATCTTCAGCGGAAAAAATGCGAAATGTGAATGTGGGACCAAACTTTTGGATAATCTATCAGTGCAATATGTGAATGTGGAATGGTGCAATTATAACTGGAACAGACTGGACTATGATACTAGGTTATGTGATTTTAATAATTTTAATGTTGAAACGTTTTAGTGGTTGTTTTAATGCATATGTTTATTTGCTGGATATGTGTTGTATGGCAGAGCCGCTCTGAGTCCCCTTCGAGGTGAGAAGGGTGGGATATAAATATGGCAAATAAAACAAACAAATAAATCCCAGAACAACCAGTGTCTAACTCAGACCAAGCGCCTTTTCTTCTTCTTCTTCAAGGCTTCCTCAACTCATCATATGTCTGACAGGATGGAGGTGTATGGGAAGAACTCCCAAAGAGTAACATGGAAGACTCTAATGGCTCCTTTCATCCATGAATGAAGTAGAAAGTATATACAAGGGATATCTGCTCACATGCTCCGTCCTTATGCAGCTGTTGTGATGACAGCAGGGAGGAAACTGTTCCCTGGCACTAGGCGCACACACATGGTTTCCCCAGAGGGCTTTATGTCTGAAACAAGGGCATTAGATACCCTGGGAATGTTCAATGTAAACACAGATCACAGATGTAGGTACTTTTGATAGAGAAAGACAAAGCTAACCCCAGGAACTTGAAGTCACGGGACCTTGGGATCTGAAGGTTGAGAAAAACAGCAGATCAATCTCCCTCTCCAATGTTTTGCAAAGAAAAAATCGTTTTTTAAAGTAAAAAAAAAAGAAAGAAAAGAAAATGTTGGAGAACATTTTTTTTTGCTTTTAGAATTAGTGAAGGGCATTGTAAGACATGGTTTATGTGTAGATTGGTATGGAAAGCAACCTACGGAATTTGAGAACAATATTACTTGAGCATGCTATAGTCTAGAGACAAGTACAACACTGAGAGACGAAATGCATTTCTGTACTTAGTGGGTGCTGCCATCTTCATGACAGGAATATATGGTGCTGGGTAGTGGTAAGGCTTCATGGTAACGCACTACCACAGATATCAGTATTTTCAATTTTAGACCCACATAGCCTGCTAAGCTTAAAACTGCAACTGTTTCTGTAGCGTAATACACTTTATTATATTAATTACAACAGTTGTAATCTTTCTGTTTTTTATATATACTCTCAGATGGCAAAAACTAGGATCCACATGCTTAGGAAATCAATGATCCAGAAATCTGTAACCCATTCTTTATTACAGAGGGTATATTCACTATTTCTCTTGAAAAAAATTAAGGCTTTAACATTTTAAAATTTCATAAATGTGTCAAATAGACCTCTAATATGCTAAGTAAGTTATGAATGATACATTTTATGTTTGTAAAGGAATATAGTGATAGGATGGCCACATACTGTGACAGAACTTCCTACTGTTTTCAAACTGCGCTATTATTATTGCAAAAACATCCAGGCTGATAAGCTAACCAGAATGAACCAGCTCACGGCCATCATCTGCTAGTCTGGACAGGATAAAAAACAGCGCTAACTACTATGGGTAGAGGAGGTATCATTTCTTTGGATTTCATGGGATAAGGTCACCACATTATTTTTGGTATTGGAAACAACTGAAAGATATAACCAGAGGGGTGAGATAGTCCCATCCACATATTTAGAACTGCACAACGAATAACGACAAAACTGAAGCTAGATGGTTTTTTGAGAAGTGGCTGAGCAATCTCCCATGGATGGGGATATTCTCTGTGAAAGAGCAGGTGTGCAACACTGGCCTTTTTCTGAATCTAACCTTTTCACTGGAGGTTCAGGTGGTGGGACCAGCTACAGTCTTTCCTGGAAAGGGACAATCTGGCCCCAAGAGTTCATACGTAAGTAACTTGCTAGTGACGACTATAGCATTGTATTATGTACAGTGTTGCCCTTGAAAATGACACAAAAGCTGCACAAGTACAATGAACAGCAACTACACTACAGTCAGGAAAACACCATAAAAGCCACATGGTACCAGTTCTGAAGGGATTGTTCTGGCTGGTATCACATTCCACACTGAATTCAAAGTGCTTATGACAACAGTGAAAGCCAAAAATTGCGTGGGATCTCGATACTTGAAGGAGTGTCTCATTGATACTTGTAGGAGTGCCTCTCCCTCAAAAAACCTGCTTAACCTCTAAGGTCTGCCAGGGAGGTCCTTCTCTGTGTACCACTAGTGAAGGTGTGAAAAAGACCTTTTTGTACTGTGGTGCAAAGGTATTCCCTGTTTGGTGCAAACACTGGTTTTACTTTGACATCAAATTAAAATAGGTTTTCATCAAAGTCTTTTGGACTCAGGGATCATGCTAAAGTAAATGCCTTGATATACTGCACACCATATATACCATTTTAAATTACTTTAGATGTCTAATTTGTTTCAAATTGACATTTTCCTGCTTATACCTTGCCATCACAGGTTTTGAAGCAGGATGAAATGTCATGAATATTGTGACATTAATGACTCAAAAGTGTGACACACCCTAAACTATGTTTGAAGAGAGTTGTTTTCCAGTTTGAGGTATTTAATTAGATGAAAGAGGTATCCTGAATTGCTGAACCAAATTGTGAAATGAACTGGTGTGGAATTCAGTTGTTAACTACTAAACGAACTTGGATCTTACGTCTAAAAAAATCTTGGAAAACCTCAGCAGGCATCCTGCTTGGTACCTTAGACTTGCAATACCTTAAACTTGATACTATAATTATTCCAGTTGTCACATGATCACAAGGACAAAAAGCCCCACCAAATCCTACCTCATTTCTCTCAATACAACCATTTCTGAATTCTTGGGAGAGTGGAGCAATAAGTAATGGTGTTCCTGCCCTGTCCTTGTAGTGGGATGCACTGCAGAATCACAAAAAGATCCTACAGGGATCTAGACAGCTATTGATTTTAGAATGCCCCATGCTAGGATAGGCTGGACACATTATTACTCACCATCCCACTCTCCAGCACTGTGGAAATGGATGAGTGGGGTCACTGGTGTGTATGTGAGGCTTCAAAGGTAAGTTCTGGGTAGTAGCATCAGGATATGCCATAGCTACATATTTGTAGCTGTATCTACTGGTGCATGATGTTGGCACATATTTGATAAAGAATTCTAAAGTTTTCTTAAAGCAACAACAACAACAACAACAACAACAAAGCAGTGCAATCTGGCAACGTCCTCAGAAGTAAGGCCTGTTCAAACAGAACCCGTTTCCTGAAAAGTATGTTTAGGACTAAAACCTCAAAGACTTACAAAGTATCATCACAACAATAAATAGATGAGACTTTAGAACATTAGATATAGAGAAGTTAATTTCCACCACTATGGTGGAAATATGACAACTACTGTATATAAAAATATTACATGTTAATGGATTGTACATACTTAAATCTAAATACATATACATATACATGTGTATATGCGTATCTCACATCACACACACACACACTACTGAACTTACTTTTGTGCCTCTTAGCAAGAACTGTAAATCCCGGCCACTAAGGATGCCATGGTTTTTGACATAGCTAGGCATATAGATAGCACTTGTTCCATGGACGGTTCCGTGAACTTCAGTGTAGGTATGAATGACATCGAGATAAGACTTCTTATCCTAAGAAAAAAACATAAACCACAATAAGTCTTCACATTGAGTATCAGCTTCTTTATGTAAGTGCTTATTAAAGCAGAAGTGAAACAAAATCATGAAATGACAACTTCAGTCATTGCACAAAAAAATATGAAGGAATATACACACACATACATTTTCACTCAAAGATTTGGGCAGCTTAATTGTACACCTAAAGGTAGTCAGTAAGGCTGATCATGGGATCAATATGAGCCTATTTTGGACTCCTTTTTCATAAGTGGGAATTCACAACTTATTCAAAAGTAAATACAGACATTAAATTATATAAGGAAAACAAGCTTTAAATTTTAAAAGATATCATTGAACTCTTTTTGAGAAGATGCTATGCCTAAATTTGAGTCCACATATCTGAACTATAGCAAATATTGTCTGTTGCTTCTACACATTCTGCATTCCCTGTACAAGAAACAGAATAGGGGAAGGAATATCCATTTGATCCAATTAAAGTAACCCACATTGACAGCTGACTACTCCTAACTACTTCTGATGTTTTAAAATGATCTCTGATTTAAAAAACAAACAAACCCATATATTCCTGGTGTGTTTTTCTTTTCTTTGTAGAATGTATAGTGATAAACACATAGAAGTATATAATAAAAACCAATTTTACTTTTTCTTCACTAGTACTTATTTTAATATAAGATTTTGAAAAGATATAATACTAGAACAGAGTATGAATGCTCCTTCTCAAATACCAGCAATCTCAAAATCTGATTTCCTAACCAGGCAGTAAACGTCTCCTTTATGTTTAGGGGCATCGAATGTATGAGCTTGTATTTCGCATTTTTCACTATACCTTCTGTATTCCTTCATCACAAAGGCCCTGACCGATGTTCACCAAAAGGTTAGAGAAGGCAAACATTGCTTGTTTAGAATCATGGAACAACTGCATTCCTCCTACATACTTTACTTCTTTAATGAAAAAGAAACACAGCAGCTATGCTAATACATAGTTCTCAGAGAGAAGGTAGGTTCGTTTTTCTTGAACGGTGGATCAGGTTGGGAGTGTAGGAGATGGACTTTCTAGCTCTATTTTAAATATGTTGACATTACAGGCAGTTCCAAGTTACGAACATGATAGGTTCTGTAGGTTTGTTCTTAAGTTGAATTTGTATGCACGTCAGAACAAGTACATTTTAAAAGTGTAACTTCAGCCAAACATATCTGTATTTTAGCTTTGGATAGCATAGGGAAAGGTTTACATCTGTGGGGTGTTTGTTTTGCAGTCTGTGCCCATGTTCAGAAAATGTCACCTCACTTTCTGTCCCTATGAGAATTGGATTTTGAAAAAAATAGCTTGTTGTGGAAACAAGGATTATTTATTTACCATATTTATATACTGCCTTTCTCAGCCTGATAAGCAAGAAAGCTTCAGTGGAGACCCCTTTTCCCCATGAAAACTATTTCAGGAGTGAATTTTCCTTCTGTGGTGTAGATTTCTCCCACTTTCTGTGATCTCACCCACGTTCTTAACTATAAGTCATTTGTAAGTTGGATGTTTGTAACTCAGGAACTGCCTGTATTTGGGACAGCAATTGTGATCCTAAGACTTCTTCTGTAGTTTCTGAATATCCCTGCTTAAATGAGTTTCCACTTTGCCTTCAATGTCTTCTGAGCCTTTGACCTCCATAATATAGCATACATTCCAAATTCCTGTGTTTGAAATATCGAATCCTATCTTTATAAAAAATATTCTGAATATATATTCCTTTGTTGTGACAATGCTAATAAGATCAGCACACTTCAAAAAGCTGGCTGCCATTTGTGGTCAGGTTTGTGTGAGAGCAACGAAAAAATTACACAAATGCTAGAGGTATTAAACATAGGAAATATATTACTTACATTGGGCTTTTAGTGGAAAGGGGTTTGAGTTTTCACTACATGGCTAAAAAAACCCTTTGATTCTCTTATTTTTGTGAGGCTGAATATTTCAAAAATAAATCTAGGATTACGATGCTTGTACTTGGCAGTGGGAAAAAAAGCATTATCAAAAGTCGCAGCCTTATAGTAGCAGCACTGGCTTTAAAAACGCATTTCTTTTCTCTTTTGGTGCAGCACTCTCTCAGAAGAAAGAGTGCAAAGTATTTCAAATGCGGAGGTCTGATTTCGTAAATTCTCTTATTATAATGTAAGTGTGGTAATAATCTACCCTGCCTGGAGCCTTTGGAATTTATCAAGGGCCATAAATTATGCTTAAGTGTCTCAAAGGTGAAAACTGAAACTGCTAAAAAGCAGCCCTGTAACAATATAATCTACGCAATTCTGGGGGAAATAAAAAGATCGCCATGAATCTTGCCTAACAAAATCATGCAGGACTTTATATATGATGCAATTACTAAAGGAAGGCCTTTGTTTAAACAACAGGAAGGTTCTGTCTACATGTCATTGTTAATTTGAATAAATTACCACAAAGTCTTTCACCTTCCTTGCCTTTATGTGTCTTAACTAAAATTCTAATCCATCTAGAGTCATATCTTACCAACTTAAATTGAGAAATGCATTGAATTAAGATTTATAATCAGGCACCTGTCAAGTACAGATTCTTCTTTAATACAGACTGAAATTACCAGGAGAAGAATTTTCCCAACAACATTTGCTATGTGGGATCTTTTTTTTTTTTTGCAGAGTCTGTGAAGTCAATTTTCAAAAGGAAGTTACTTTTCAAAAATATTTGCTCAGTTACTCATTCCAGAACTTAAAAAGTAACCTGTTGCTATTACTCATTATAATAATTTAAAATGAATAGGGTTGAATGGTAAGAAAATGCCCTAAAACAGGGTGTGGGTGTGGGAATAAGAATAAGCAGAAATGGCTACATCAGCCAACAACTCATTGAAGGCAATTCCATCATCAGGGGCTATTTTTCTTTTAAGAAGAGATATACTATTCATGTTAGAGCCCTCTGCGATTTATTTATTTATTTATCGTATTAGAAGCAAAACAAGGGTACAGTTGTAATGTATTTTAAAACATAATAGTTAAATGCAATAATTAAATGCAATATATTGATAGCCAAGTTGACAAGCTTTCCTTCATATTGATCCCTGTTTCCTTAATATTGATCATTCAAAACAATTTTTAAAGACTGATAAATCATCTGCAGTATTTTTGGTGTGGTGGGAGAATGACAGACAAAATGAATGTTCAAACTCTGATGTACATGTACTTTCTGGTTCTGAGAATTTCAGTATTGTGGAATATTCATTTTATACCATGAACCCCAACACTGAAATGGTTCATTTTGAAACTCTTAAGGAATACACCAAAATTTCCTTGAGGTCAGAAAAATATTTTAAAAATAATTTAAAATGTTTTAAGAAATTATAATCTGTAAGCTCCAATTTTAGAACAGGAGAACCCTTACTGATACTTTGACACTGGAAAAGGCCATGAAGCTTACTGAAAATTTGATACATATAAATAGCTCTTTGAGCCTTCAATATCTGTATATAGGAATTAAAAATATTTTATGTTTCATCTTGAGAAATGTTCATTTCTAAATCTGGTTTGGACATTTTTCATGTTCCTAATGTGAAGTGCAATTTGGAAAATGACAGAGGGGCCCAAAGATACTAATGAATTTGTCCCAGTTTTATAAAACCCTTTTCGAACTATAATCCAGAGCTTCTGCCCTTGAAAACAGTTTATAATATTAAAAACCATGGTCCTAACACTCAACTATATGACAAGAAGTAAAATACTGGTCTTTAGAAAAGAGGAAGGAAAGGAGAATGGGAGAAAAGAAATATAGGAGCACCTTCAAGACTGGTTTTCATTTCAGTATGAGCTTTCATTGATATCAACCTACTTCTTCAGATACTGGGACTCACCATGCTAGAGAACGAATCCACTTTAAATCTGGTTGCTGCCTCCTGCAGAATTCTGGGGTTTGTAGTTTAGGGAGGAGCCTTTAACATTAGCCTCACTAAACTACAAACCCCAAAATTCTGCAGGAGGCAGAAACCGGATTTAAAGTGGATTCATTCTCTAGTGTGATGAAGCATATAGTGAAGAGAGATAATTTGAAGCTTGGATATCACAGAAGAAGTCAGTTTATATTCATGAAAACTCACATTAAAATGAATACCAATTAAAGGTGCCTCTATCTATATTTTCATTCTCTTCTTGCTCCATTCTTCCTTTTTATGCTGCAAAAGACTAACGCAGCAACTTCTTCGAAAATTGGTCCTTATTCCATTGATAAAACCTGAACTTATTTTTCAATCACTTTCTTGACAGCTATGTTAAACTTGCGATTTACAAAAGACACTTTTGTTGATCGCTGTGTACACCATTGTTATTATTCTATGCCAATTATTTCCACCTAAATTTAAAAAGCCTCTCTGCACAAGACCTTTCACATCAAAGAAATCAGATTACAAAGAGAATGTGTTTTTCTCCCCGAGGCAATGTTAATAGGAAGATACAACTCTAAGGGGTTGAAATTTTGAACTGCATAGATTAAAATTCAACTTGATTCATCTGTGGTAATAAACATTCGAACTACAGTAAGGGAAGAGAAAGGAAGAAAGGGGAAGGTGAGTGAACGTGTTCTATTTATATGGAAAACAAATGCTGCTTAGCAGCCTTCAGTTAGCAAAAATATGCCTCATTTAAAAATCAGTCAAGTCACCTCTACAAGACAGTAATTTTGATAAAAGATTTAATTCTGAAAACCCACAGAGATTAAATGAGGTTGAACTTCACTGGACGGGTAAAACCCAAGCATCCTATTGGACTGCCAATAGGCTGGTGAACCCTTTGTTTGAAGATCTGTTCCATCATTATGGAGTCTTTTGAAGTCATTTGCAACTTTTGGAAAAGCAAACATGAATTTATAATGGAGTTTCCTTGACAATATTTGTTCAGAGGGAGTTTGCCTTTTGCTTGAGGCTGAGTTTTATTCACCCAAGGTCACCTAGTGGGTTTCCATGGCCAAGTGGGGAATCAAACCCTGATCTCCA